TAAAATAAAAAAATTATTTATGAATATGTTATTAAAAAAAGGTAAAAAAACCTGTTCAGAAAACATATTTAAAAATATTTTAATCAATTTAAAAAAAAGTACAAAACAAAACCCTAATTTTATCTTATTTAAATAAGGGTCGTGGCTAGACGCAAGCAGGTCTCGTCGGTGTCCGGCCTGTTTGGTTCCGTAAAGGCCCTTTACAAATTGCAAGCAGGTCTCGCTGGCGCTCGTCACGCTAAGCTTTTTTAGTTGATCTTCAATGATGGCCATTACTATGAACGTATAAATATTGACATCCTTCTCCTTTTAAGTCTTCCGGCAGACGCTTTGGACGTCTAAGAATTTTACTCGTATGTCGTAGAGTCGTATGAATAAGAGGATAGTCTCGCCGCTGGTGCTATCCAGGAAGGCCGTAACGGCATTTTTATTTCCTTCCAAGCACTTTATGATCACCGCCTGCTACTAACCTTGCGTTTTCTTGTACATTGAAGGCGCTGTATCTAATATTTTTTTTTGAGGACACGCTTGTTGCGCAGCACAGGCATGTACTTCTTTTGCTTGAATACCTCTTACGTCAAGTTCAAATATAGCAAGCGACCTCTAAGGTAATCACTTGGAACCAGAGGTGTGCATCTGGATATGCGAGCGAAAACTTGTACGTAATAAAGTTGGAAGAACTTGTGTTCTGCCCCCCCCCGCCCCCAATGAGGACATCAACACCGATCGTAACAGACCTGTTGCGACGATTGGCGCATGCGACCTGCCTTACGCTGGATCCCTTGCGGCGTCTGCTGCCTTTTACTTTGCCCAATTCACTTTCGCTCGGGTCGATGTGCTCAGAAGCCTCTCCTTTCGCTGTTATCTTCAGATGCGTCTTTCTTTGTTTCCGTGTCTTGCGACTCTTTCTCTTAGCATACCGCGAAAGGTTTGAACTTCGGATTTTCATCTTTTCTTTTGCTTTCGTTTTGTAACGGAGCCGTTTTGGTTAGCTTGGATGTGAACTTTGCGGCAGCTCGTTCTTCGAAGCACTCACCACTTAAATCATCCCGTCTTCTTACTTCTCTTTTGTTTGTCCGTTGGTCGATCCCGTCATCAGCTCCAAGCTTGACTTCATTTCTCAGTGCCTCAATAGGAATTGTATTGTTTTAATAACTTGTCAGGTGGTGACCACTACTTGAATACTGGGGATCAGTTCATTGTAGCCCTAATTTTCTACAATATTTCCGACAATTATACCCAGCGTCCCGCGCTTGTGCAGGAATGCAATTTTGGTAATTTCATAGGCATGTCAAGGGATTTAAACATCACATCTTACACGAATTTTAAACGGCCTTCCCGTCAAAAGCACCAGAGGCAATTTGGGGCTCGGGTTGGTGCGAGGTGCTATACTATCTTTCACGTACGCCGCGTATTCCGCGGCACATTCTCAATGGCCGAGCGGTAGTCTACAGCCGAATATCATGCACCAAACCTTATTCATTATGATCCGGTGCCCCAATTCTCTTTTTCCATACGATGCAGACAACTTGCGCTCTGTTGTTTGTCTTGACGCATTTCTATCGACAGGAAATGCAGGGTTGCTAAGTTAGCCTCCTTTATCCGTCCGCATCACGTGTACTCATACATTGAATTAGTTGTAAAGAACACTATGACAAGCTGACACTTTTTCGTTGCTTCTTCCTTTGGCTTGGCGACGAACACGCGCATAAAGTCAATTTCGGGTCGACAAAATTGATAGATACCCAATTTTTCTCATTTCCGTAAATGTGGTGTGCTTTTAAGAGTCACAACCATTGGACCCACCCACCGCGTACATTGAAGCATTGATGCCACTGTACCGCTTTGACTGCGCCGTCTTCGACTATGTGCCCTCTGGGCACGTGAGGCAATTTTGGCGCATGTTGGATGTGAGTTCGAGTCCGTTCCCCTGAATCGCGGCCAATCTTCGGACATCTTTGCAGTTTTGGTGTTCAAACTGCGATGGAAGCTCATCAAACTCGCCCGTTGCAATTTGGCTCCATACGCTCCCGATGCCTGGATTGCGTGCATGATTACGTCTCAGAAACCACTATTTCTTTGCCATTCAAAACCTCAATCGACCACAAGCACGTTTTACTTGATTTGAGCGTGCATTAAGAGGTTGTTTTCCATCATCACCGCGTTTTGTCTGTTCTTCTTTGTACGACAGAAGACTTGAACATCAGCAGCTCGAGTTAGATTTTTATGTCCAACTTGGGCGTATTGGCCGTGTCTGGTAGTTCGATGCGGAACGTTTTTTTTACAAATTGATTTGCAGCTTCGCCTCATCGCGACTTTTCAAGCGCTGTGCGCTCTTATCCGGGACCGTCACATTGTCAATTGTAACGGGGTGAGAGCCCGTTACCGTCTTACACTAATAATTAAGCTGAGGAAGCGCTGTGATTTATAAGGTAAATTTAACTCTGTTTGTATTTTTGTGTTTTTATAATTCGCAGTAAGTGCGAATATGTTCCCTAGCTCATGGGAACCACTCAAATACAGAACTAATTATTATTGGCTAATTATTGGGTCTGGCACCCCAATAATAAACCAATAATAAATAGACGCGCAGTATCCGCTATCCGGATACTGCCTACACTTAATGTATGTAATTATGTAATAAAACTATGACTACTTAATATAATGGGTTGCCCCGTTACATCACCCTCCTCTTTACGTTGCGCTTACCTTGAGGTAAGCGCCATACACAGAAAGTTTCTTCTTAACGAATAGTCCAACGAAAAGCCCAACGAGAACTCCAACGACACGTCATCTTGGTCTTCGAATCTGCTCAGCCACAAACAACTGAGCAGCATGAATCCTGAACACCCACGCGACTCGACCCCAAACGACAGTTGGGGTCATCAGACACTTCGAAGAGAGCGTGCACCGCAGACCATGGATGACGACTTGAAGCCGTGGGGCTTGTACAGCCTTGAAGGCGCGCACCAACCTGAATCACTTGAGACCATGAAGAATCTCTTCACACGATACCGTAACGTTCGAGGCAAGGGAACGAATCACACATACACTGAAGACGCACTGCAACGATCTTGGTGTGCCTTCATCAGACGTTGGAACGCGAGTCGACGTGAAGGGGGCATCCTTCACGTCCTGGATCGAGGGACGCGAAAGTACTCATGGCGACCACGCTATTGGCGACTTACGACGACGCGTATGTCATTTGACTCGTGATGGGTTCCACATGTGTTACGTCCATGTCCGTGAAGGGTGTCCACGGTGTCACATGGAGAGACCGCGACCAATGCGGCAGGAATGGGACGACATGGTGTGTGCACGGGGAATGCCCCAGCACATCCGACCATGGATCGGACGCTATGAGAGGAGCCTCTCAGAGCTCCAAGTATCTGCGTTGCGTCACATGAGGGAACGCCCTGTCGATCAATGGAGGCGTTCACGTAGTCGAGATCGTTTGTCTTACGACCACCGAGGTCGTTCTCGTAGTCACTCTCGACCGTCAAGGTATCCAAATGCTCTCGAGCCTCGTAGAAGACGTCGGAGTCGCTCGGGAGATCGTCGTCGATCGCCAATTCACGCACGTTACGGTTCGCGGGATCGTGGAAGGAGTCAGCAGCGTCGGTCGCGTTCGCCGACCTCTTACTGGTCTCGTACTCCTCAACGACGTCAGGAACATCGTGAGCCAGCATACTTCGAGGCTCCCACGTGTCTTCCGTTGGTGAATAACCCAACCATCGGACCTTGTAATGCGTTTCTGAACGACTCTTCGATGGCGCCGAGCCACTACTCGGCGCAAGAGGCGTGGGGTCTTCATGACCGACGATACGGTCCACAATCCAGCGTCGCTCACCCGATGCATCTACCAAGGGAGGAGGAGCATCACGACGGAAGGCTTCTTGGGTTGGGCGCCGATTCTCATAATCGGGCGCCTGTGCCGTCGAGTGACGAGCTTCGTTTCCTTCGTGCTGACACTGAAGAGGCGATGGACGGCCTTCTGGATGCCCGTGAGATGGCCGAGGGGGCTCGAGATCGTGCAGCAGCTGCGACAGAGGCTGCTGAGAGAACCCGACGGGAGCAGCAGGGCTTGGTGGAGCGTCTGCGACAGCTCGAGACTGCTGCGTTCGGTGGACCCCAGCAGAACGAGTCTGCTCGCGCTCGTCTAGGACTTGGTCCCAGTCGTCGTCAGCGTCGTCGGCAGGGGGTGTCGGACTTTGAGCCGATACAGACGAGTGAGGAAGGACCAAAGGGAGATCCGCCGGCAGGTAAGCCTTAAGGCGCCCGACATAGAATGTCGGGTGCAAACGCATAGTGGTAGGTATGTCTAGCGTGTAAGCATCTCCATGGACTTCAACAATCCGAAAGGGCCCAATATATCTTGGCGCTAATTTATTAGCGCCCAAATTCGTTACTGACGTGTCTGGTAATCCGCTTGTCGATAGTAAGACTCTGTCACCTTCTTTGAACGTCAGCAAGTTCTTTCGACCTCGCTTGTCCGCGTTCTCCTTTTGTTTATCCACTGCTTCTTGGAGTGCATCGCGTACAAAACGCGTGATACTTTGCCGTAGTAATAGGAATTCGGTCACAGCAGCCGAACTTACAGGAGAAGTGGACTTTTTAGGAGCAAAATTAGCGACGGGAGACGCGATGGGATGCATCGCGTCGGGACTCGATATGCCATTGGCCACGAAATTAACAGTATGAGTTGCATCGGCAGCAACCTTGTCTTCAACATTACCAATCATCAAAAATTTTTGCGTAGTGTCATCGGGAGATACTCCCCCACCAAGATGAGAAACTGGGTGTGCTGAATCTGAGAAAGCAAGAAGCGCTGAAACGCGAGGTTGCCTCGCGTTGTTCACGAAAAATGGCGTCAATCCTGTTGACGCATGAATTGCGTTGTTGATTGCAAATTCAGCGAGAGGGAGAAACGAACTCCACGACGTGAACGATGTCGCATAGCTGCGCAGTACATCTTCAAGTACACGATCGACGCACTCCGTTTACCCATCCTTTTCTGGATGGAATGCCGTAGACATAAGCAGTCGCGTGCCCAATAGTTGAAACAACGTTGCCCAAAAAGCTGATGTAAAGCGCGGGTCGCGGTCCGAAACAATTGATTCAGGCAAGCCGTGATGTCGAAATATGAGATCGATGAAGATCTGCGCGGTCGTCTCCGCCGTAACGTGCGCGGAGACTGGAGCAAAATGCACCATTTTGCTAAATCGATCCACAAAAACCAATACGCCCGTGCGTTTCTGTTCGTCCGGAGGGAGACCAAAGATGAAATCCATGCTGACCGAACGCCAGGCTTCCGTGGCAATCGGAAGCGGACGCAATGGAGCTTGTGAAGACGGCGCAGGCTTCACACGCTGGCATATTTCACAAGAGCGTACCCATTTCTGGATGTATTTGTACATACGCGGCCAGAAAAACACACGAGAGATGGCCGCGAACGTCTTCTCGCGACCCAAATGACCTCCAGTTGGAGTGTCATGAAATTCATGCACCAATCGTGCGCGGAGGTCGTCATCAGCAGGGATGACGACGCGCGGTGGGTCGAAAACGTCCATTGTATAAGTCAGCAGCGGACCATCAAGCGCGTACCGCTTGATGTTGTCACGCGTTGGTTTCGTCAACTTCGCGAGTGAACCCTCACTAGGGTGTCGAAGATAATTGATGATTCCCGTGTAGAATGAATCGTTCGCATATGACTCAGCGATTTGAGTCCGGATTGACAGCTCAGGTGTCGAAATCATTGCATTGAGCCCCTGCTCAGCACAGCATAAACAAATGTCGTCGTCCTCGTCTTCAGCAATGCCTGGCTGATGACCCATGTCACGTCGAGGATCATAATCGGGACGTCGAGAAAGCGCGTCAGCAAGAATGTTGTTCTTGCCGGGTTTGTAAAAGACCACGAAATTATACTCTGAGAAGTATGACAACCAACGTGCCATACGCTGGGACAAGTAAGGAGTCTTGACGGCGGTACGCAATGATGCGTGATCTGTATAGACCGAAAACATCTTCTCGCCGAGCAAATATACTCTGAACTTGATCAGCGCGTAACGCATAGCCAAAAGTTCCTTGTCATGTACCGGATAGTTCCGCTCTGCGGGTTTCATCTGTCGTGACTGAAAGCTCACGACGCGCTCTCGGCCCTCATCGTCAAACTGCATGAGGGCACATCCAATAGCGAAATTACTCGCATCACAGACGACGTGAAATGGCTTGGAATCATCAGACAACATCAGCACTGGTGCTTCAGACAAGCTCTTTTTCACAGAGTTGAAGGCAGAGTGATGTTCAGCTTTCCATGACCAAACTGCGTCTTTCTTCAGTAGAGTCGATAGTGGCTGGATTAGTTCTGCATAGTTCTTCGTATACTTATGCAAGTAATTGGCCAAGCCAAGCCATTGGCGTAGTTCCGTTTGGTTCCTGGGCGTAGGCCAGGAACATATCGATGACACTTTCTCGGGATTAGCACGGACACCCTCCTTGCTAACATAGCATCCAAGAACTGGAATCTCGGGAGCGCAGAAGACGCACTTCTTCAAATTTGCGTACAGATTGTTCTCGCGCATCACTTGGAACACCTGTTTCAAATGCCGAAGGTGGACCTCCGTAGCGCTGAGTTGTTGCTCAGCGCGGCTGTGAACAAAAATATCGTCGAAATAACTTGGAGCGAAATCACGTAGTGGCCGAAGCACTTGTGTCACCATCCGGTTGAACGTTTCTGGAGCGTTCTTAAGGCCTTGTGGCATGACTAGCCACTCCCAAAGCATCCCACTCGGTGTGCTGACAGCGGTGAACGGGATATCACTGTCCCTCATTAAAATCTGGTAAAACCCGTCTGTCAGGTCTATGGCGCTAAAAATCTCGCTGCCGGACATGGTATCCAGTACCATGTCTTTCCGAGGAATTGGTGTTTGAGCCGGGATCGTGGCGTCATTCAACTTGTTAAAAGCATGCACGATGCGCCAACCGCCGGTGGCTTTCTTCACACAGAAAGTCGGACTCGAATGTGGCGATATGCTTTCGCGGACGTGTCCTGCCTTACGGCGGCCCTCAAAAAATTCATCAATTGCGATGACTTGGTCACGCGGTAGCGGCCACTGCCGCGTCACGCAATACTTCGATCCTGGCACGAGATCGATCTCGTGTCGCACACCACGATCCGCTGGAAGCTCAGCGGGGATGTTCTCCGGAAAGATTCCGGCATACTCACGCGCGATATCATAGACAGGGTTGCCCGAAGCACGAAGGGCTTCCCAAGACTGTGCCACGAAACGTTCTTCGCGCGCTGATTTGGGCTCAGCGCTCTTTGGGCGAGCCTCCAGAACTTCTCCACTAGCTGCTTCGGCGGCTGATATGATGCACACTTGCTCGATGTCGCCGGCCTTGAGGTCGTGAAGAAAATCTTTCCATGGTAGGGTTAATAGAGATGTGATCTCTGCAACAGTGCACGGAGGGCTCGCTACCTCAACTTAGCGGCCACGATGTGAAGACCCTTCCACATATTCAAGCGCACAAACGGATTCCGTCAATACAGTATCATCGTCAACGGCTCTTGAGCGAGAATTTCGTCGTCTTGGTGATCGGCGTGCACCTTTCTTGCGTCTTGAGCCACTGCTCGAGGCTGGAACGTCGCTGTCGCTGGAGGATGAAGTACCCCCCGCTAGACGTGGGAGCTCTGTCTCCACCACGTCGTTCACATTTAAGTCCACAGCCCGTTCATTCTCGTCGATAAGAGGCGGGAACTCGTCGTCGACCGCCTCAGATGTATGTGGGAGCCTCTGCTCGACCACCTCGGTTACAATCGGGAGCCTCTGCTCGGCCGTTGTGTGTGTATGCGGGAGCCCCTGCTCGACCGCCTCGCTAGAACTCGGGAACCCCTGCTCGACCGAAGTCCGTGTGTGCGGGAACCCCTGTTCGACCGCCTCGTTGTGAATCGGGAGCCCCTGCTCGACCGATGTCCGTGTGTGCGGGAACCCCTGTTAGACCGCCTCGTTGTGAATCGGGAGCCCCTGCTCGACCGATGTCTGTGTTTGCGGGAACCTCTGTTCGACCGTCTCGTTGTGAATCGGGAGCCCCTGCTCGACCGATGTCTGGGTTTGCGGGAACCTCTGTTCAACCGCCTCGTGTTGTGGTTCTATCAGTGTGACTGAACATACCGGACACAGAGGGCCATCGCTCTCTCTGTGCTGACTTCTAGTCGTGGCGAGTTCGTTCACGACCCTGACGTGAGGCCAACCGGATGGCGCTACCAACAGATGAGTGAAAACTTCACTTACGTCGTAACCGCTTCGTCGTTTGACGGACCGAGATAGCCAGTCTATCGTCGGCTGATATCGTGACAGCCACGGTATCCCCAAGATGCAATCGAATGCATAATTCATCTCGTACACCAAAAATTCGTCATTACTTTGGAAGCCGTCGAACGTGTACGGCAAAACCACTGTTTTACGCGGGACACGCTGTGGTTGTCCATCAGCAAGTTTGACAACGATGTCACCTGGACCTTCTCGAACCGTAACTGTCGACGGGAGAAGGGACAAACATGATGCTCGAAAGAAGTTTTGGATGCACCCGAATCCAACAACGCTCGGAGTGGTCGTTTAACTCCAGCAACGATGAGACTGATAATTATCAGTCTCGAATCGTCGCGCATAGTGGTGGCATTGAAGTGGGTATGTATCACTTTAGGGCTAGGAGCCCGAGCTGCCACCTGAGTACTCGGGGCTCCATTACTGCCAGTAGGGCGCCCCGCACCTACTGGAACCGCTCGTTTTTTGGAGGGACCACTGACGACACAGTATCTCCACGTGAGACAGCTGTGTTCATGGACACCGGCGCTGGTGCTCGGCAGACGGCCGCACGATGGCCAGTCTTGTCGCACCGATAACACTCCATCGTGTTTTGACTTCGAATGTCGCGGCCAAATTGCTTGCCGCGACCACGAGATGCATCGATAACGTCAATTTCCATAGGCTCTGGGCCAGACGTACGCGGGCGTTGCGACGCTGCCTGCAAATATGACGATGCGACCGTGTAATCTTCACGAAGCGCGAGGGCAAATGCCTCCTCAAGAGTCTTAGGTTCAGCACGTGTGAGGCAATAGCGGGTCATGCCCTCTTGCATACCAAAGACAAAGACATGAACTTGAGACGCCATGTCGACCGGCTTCGTGATGATACACGAAGCAAGATGTCGCGTCTTCTGTACGTAATCACGCATCGACAGCTTGCCCTGTCGAAGTGAAAAGAAATCTGCGCGCAAGCGTGACTCATCTTGAGGGGGCTCGAACGCCAGTCGTAAGTCGCGCTGGATATCGTCCAGCGTGGGGAATGCCAACTCGTTTACAACGAGCTTCCCAAGAGCCCATTCTTTGGCTTTACCAACAAGCCGAGACAGTAGGAAATTAACCTTGGCCGTCGGAGCGTCAATCAACCTTGACGCTATGGCGATATCAATCTCCCTAAACCAGCGATTAAGGGGGAGACGATCTGGACCATCACCAGAGTATGTCGACGTCTCCATTTTAATTGCATCGTAATGGGAGGGGCGCGAGGGATTATGTACTCGCCGGTTCGCTTCGGCGAGCTCGCGCACCATGCAGTCTTGAATGACGGCACGGTGTTGTTCGGGCGTCGCTGTGCTCAGCAGCGACGTCACGAAGATTTCACCAGACACCGCCGCGAGGCGGTGTAATGCCTGCCATTCTACCGTAGTGAGATGGGGAAAATCTGCATGCTCCAGCGAAACTGCTGGAGCCATCGAAGATTCACTCATATCCATCTCGAACTTGGTCATGGGAAGGACTACGAAGTGCTACCAGGTGTAACGGGGTGAGAGCCCGTTACCGTCTTACACTAATAATTGAGCTGAGGAAGCGCTGTGATTTATAAGGTAAATTTAACTCTGTTTGTATTTTTGTGTTTTTATAATTCGCAGTAAGTGCGAATATGTTCCCTAGCTCATGGGAACCACTCAAATACAGAACTAATTATTATTGGCTAATTATTGGGTCTGGCACCCCAATAATAAACCAATAATAAATAGACGCGCAGTATCCGCTATCCGGATACTGCCTACACTTAATGTATGTAATTATGTAATAAAACTATGACTACTTAATATAATGGGTTGCCCCATTACATTAATTATGTTGCACTTCGCCCGATCATACAACATGTTGCTATACTTAACCAGACGCATGCTTGCGTCAGATTCGAGAATGCAGTATTTATCGTTGAGAATGACTGCTACCATAAGGCCAATGCCCATCATGAAGTGTATTCGGCGTTCTCGCTCTTCGAGCTACCGAGACAGAAAAGCGCGACATATCCGACGGTGCTGCAAATATTACATGTTCTAAATTCCGTACGCTTTTAAGTCTTTGTTGTCGCTGCCACTGCGTTTTCTCCGCTCTTGATTCTCGACTTTTATTGTACTCGTCTGTTTGCACCCCAAAATGTGGTTTTCAGTGCGTGCATCATAAATTCTAAGCTTTTTCTATAGTGCTGTCTCGCCGGAACCAAACGCAGCTACGGCTGCGCGAGCATGAAGAGACTCTCCTGGGTCAGTGATGCGGACGCGCCTGTGGCGTTTCTCACCACTATTTAGAAGAGGTTGTGATTACGAAATGATTCCGTGGCGTTCTTGCGTCGATTAATACAGTCGGAAATATGCGCGCTCGCATATAGGGCGAGAGGAAATTGACTTCACATCTTCTACTGCGCACGACATTGTGTCTTCCATGTCCAACCATTCGCCTCTGAGCTATTTAAAGGACTCCTCAAATTCCTCGCGCAAGTTAAAATCTAGCTTTTAAATCATGAAATTTTCATGCCACGCGTAGCCGGTCGTCTCTTGAGCCATCTCCATCGCTTTTTGAACGCGCGCCCCGGTGACTAAATTGTTACGGGGCACCCTTTGTTTGGGGTGCCGCGAAACTTCACGTACACTAGAACGTGCAGAGGAAGCGTCTACACAAACAGCTATATTGGGTAAAGGGTAAAGAGAACTGTATTTAATGTAGTTAAGCTATCAATATAAATTCAGTCTTTATCTAACTATATTAATCTACATTGTCGCATGACGACAACCTGCTCACCACTCATTACGCGCGTCTAGCAGAGATTGGTAATAACCTTGGTTGATATGTCTTTATCAACCAGTCTTTGAGCAGCACTTGAATATAAATCTACAAGGGGATACTATTCCTTCAATATCATCCATCTCGAATAATGTTGGTTGCGAATTGTCACGCTGGACAATCTTTCTATTGACACCGTTTGGTGTCAATGTCATGTAACGGACTACCCCGTTACAGTACAATCCCCTCTTAACCATTAAGCATCCGTTGGTTGAATTTAACTGATCGGTACAGGGTGACCACCGTTGGATCACTCTGGGAAGGGGAAAACTTGCTGGTCAAATTTCAATTCATTTGCCAATTCGTCGCATGGTGTCAAACTCCATGCGATGTGCTGCCGAAGCAGCAAGAAAGGCTGTTGCACGAATGCGTGCAGCAGAAAGGGGTACTTCTATTGTTTCAGCAGCAGGTGATCCTTCGACTGATATTGCATTTAGCAACAGGCGGTGCCTGCTGTGAACAGTCCACGTGGTGAGTCACCACGTGCGACAGATACATCCGCTGCGTCAGCAGCGGGTACTGCGAATCGCGATGTAGATGAGCCTGAAAGTCGCCCATCTATTCTGGCGAGTCGGATGATGCATCCGACTCGAAGGCGACACCTCACGCCTCCTGATCATCTTGTGCGGACACTGTAAGAGCCAGGTTGACTGGATTTGGGGAACGTGGCGGTATCATGTCCGAGATCTTCGGACCGAGCGATTGTTTCAATGAATTCTCGCCTCACTCGAGTCCATTCAACGTTAGGACGCGTGGTGATGGTGGTGATGCCCTTATGCATCACCACGAGATAAGAAACTCGAGGGATCGAGATTCTCCTGTTGCTATTGCTTATTCTGACACCACTCAAGAAGCCAAGGACCGCAATGTCCTGCGCCACGCTCCTCAAGTGGAGTCTCCTTGGATGCCTTCATCCAAAAAGTTAGATTGAGTGGATTATAAGACCACTGTACGGGATCGAATCCTGTTGTTCGACTATAGGAGGATCTGTCCTCCTAATTTTAGCACCGAAACTATCCATGCTGAGGAATAAATCTTCACCGATGCATTTTTTAAACATCGGTGGTACAATGGCAGCCGTGTTCGAGACGGTAGGGCCTTTGTGCAAGAAAGGAATGCCTACATCCATAACATCGAGTGCATCGGCCGCGAGGCCTGGCTAGGTCATCTTGATGCAGCTCGCATCGACTGTCAAGAGAGGTAGGATTGCCCTGTCTCTCGTGGGGTAATTCGTGTACAAGTTGCCTGGACAACTCGAATCGTGCCCCTAAGGAGGGCTACATACCTTATGTTCCCTATTGGATGGCGCGTATCTCCTCTGAGATGGCTGAAGGAATTGACACGTTGCAATCCCTAAACTCGCGTTCGAAAAGGTCGTTTTCGACGGCCCTTCTTCGAACGCAGCGGGTAGGTCTCGTCATATTGCTCGACAAGACCCCAAGCTTCAACAATCAGCTGGGCAAGAGGCTCCCAGCTGTCCCAGGCTGGTGGATAGCCGCACCAGCGGACGAGTTAACTTGTCCAGACGCTATTCACGTCGAGGTGGCTCAAAATACGCTCCACCAGAAAGCGTTGACCACCGCCACAATCCACTAAAGGATGTGGTGGTGGCGGAAACACCTGATCCGTCTCGAGATTCGATCAGCTTTATGTTCAGGAACCGAACCGTGTAACGCAACAGTTACACGATGACTCGGCTCATGAACAGACTCGGCGTTATGAGCTCCACGACCTTGTAAAGGTAACAAATGATTCCTTAGCGCACGATCGTTCGAACGATCGTGCCGCGTTTGCGTTCGAGCAACTCGAGAAACGAACTTCCGGTTCGTTCTCTTCGTGACGAGCTGACTGTAACTCGTCAGTACATCGCTCAACTGCGTAAGCAGGTCGCTTCGCTAGTCGATTAGACTGGCTTGTTAAAACGGGACCACTCGAGGGTGGTCTCGCTCTCGACCGCGGAGGTGTTCTTCGCATCTCTAAACGGGCTCGTACTGATAGTTCCGTCGGAGTACGCATCCTACAAGGCGGTTTAATCGTGTATGCGTTGCCCATTCGGCGCAACACACGAAATGGACCGATGCTCTTGGGCAGTAATTTACTGCTGCCCACGTTTGTCACTGCGTGTTTTGGTAAATTTACTGTAGACAGTAAAAGTAAGTCCCCTTCGTTGAATGAAAGAACATTTGCTCTTCCACGTTTGTCCGCATTTTTTTCCTGTCTATCTAGTGCATCTGCAATAGAGTCTTGAAGGAAGCGAACAACCGCTTCGCGAGTCAGCAGACATTCCTCTGCTGATTCATCCTTATCAATAGCAGTGCGCTTCGTGTGCACTTCTGAAAGAACGTTGTCTTCACCAGTGAGGGTATCATCGTCCTCACTCTGGCTGTCATTGGCGATGCTGAATATGCCAGCATCGTCGTCATCGTCATCATCGATCCCATCGACATCGGCATCCATCACGTCGACACCATTGTTTACGGGTGATAAGCAATAACCAGATCGTTTTTTGTTCGTGCGAGTCCACCCCCCTCCTCCTTAAACTAGAATCTCACTCTAAGAAGGCGGGTAAACGCGGATGGCGTAGGCCATCTACGAAGAACGGCGTATGCGTTGTCGACGCATGCACCGAGTTGTTGATGGCGAATTTTGCCATCGGCGAGAACTCACTCTAAATCGTAAACGAGTGTACGTCCCCTCGAAGTTTATCTTCGAGGACGCGGATGATGCGTTCCGTCTAACCATCTGTTTCCGGATGGTCAGAAGTCGACATCTAAAACGTGTTTTAAGTAAACGGAACACAGATTTACAGAAGTATGCTGTGAAGGGGGGGGGGCCTATCAGACACGCGTTCGTGGGGTGACCCGTGAAGTCGGAAAGTAGTACATATATATACACGAGCACAGCCCTGGGCTGTGATTGACTTCGGTACAGCAAAAATGTGTACCATCTAGCTTAATTGATCAAAAAACACAAGAGTACCAGTATACTTGTGAGCTTCTTTAGGAAACCCAAAGACGAAGTCCATCGATGCGGACTGCCAACACTCTGACGGAGTCGGGAGAGGCTGCAAGGGTGCGCGGGATGAAGGACTAGGATTCGCCCGTTGTTAAACTTTGCAAGCGTGGATGTATTTGCGCACAAACTCATACTTTTGAGGCCAGTAGAAATCATGACTTACCGTGAGGCAAGTCTTTGTTCTCCCGCGATGCTCACTTGTTGGGGCATCGTGACACTCATATATGATGCGTATTCGCAAATCATCGTGAGCGGGAACGACAACACGAGGCGTGGCGCCGTTGACTGCTGTATAGTACAGCATTCCATCACGAACCGAATACCGTTCGGTTGACGAGCGGTATTGAGACGTCAAGCTTTTCAAAGCTTGACTGGATGGATTAGACACGTAGAATATCAATCACAGAAGAGACTCATCTTTTGCGTATGCTTTCCGCACGTCGTCGAGCAGATTCGACGACGGAACACTCCCTGTTAGTGTCTCGACAGTAGGATCACCCCTATTGTTGGGTTGTGCAGTCGGATCGAAATCGGGCCGATGCGAAAGAGCATCAGCGACGACATTAAGCCGTCCTGATTTATACTCGACGGAGAAGTTGTACTCCACGAAGAAAGACATCCACCTCGCCCTTCGTTGCGAGAGGTGTGGACTGTTTACGGCCGTGCGTAATGATGCATGGTCGGTATGAACGATGAAGAGCCTATCTCCTAAGAGATATACCCGAAACTTAGCCAGTGCATATTTCATGGCAAGGAGCTCCTTGTCATGCACCGATTAATTCCGCTCAGCTGCTAGCAGCTGACGCGATTGATAACAGACGACGCGCTCAACGTCGTCTGAGTCGTACCGCATTAACGAGCGGCCTATTGCAAAATCGCTGGCTTTACAGACCTCATGTCACGGTCTGTCCTGCACTGTCACCAACACAGGCGATTGTATCAAGATTTACTTGATACCTTTGAAGGAGTGCTGAATCTTAGCGCTCTATAACCACCTACAGTTCTTCCTCAACAGACGAGAGAGATGTACAGTCATCTCGTCTTGATTGTGCAAGTAATTGTGCATGAATGCCGCTAAGCCAATGAATTTTTGAAGTCCACTGACGTCGACTGGCACAGGCCAGTCGCTAATTGTCTTGGTCTTTTCCGGATCAGGACGTACGCCGTTTTTACCCACGATGCAGCCAAGAAGTGGTATTTTGTTCGCTGCGAATAAACACTTCTTGAGGTTCGCGAACAACTTATGCTCTCGCATAAGTGTAAGAACCTCCCGGACGTGGATTCTATGAACCTCCACGTCCGTCTTTCCATCCATAGCCCGGCTAAGGACGAAGACATTGTCAAAATAACTCGGTGCGAAGTCTCGCACCGATCGCAGCAGATTCGTAAAGCATCTGGTGAACGTTGCAGGGGCTTTACGTAGTCTCTGTGGCATCACTAGCCAGTCCCAGAGCATACCACTGGGGGTGCTCACCGCTGTGTGCGGGATGTCCCGTTCACGCATGATGATCTGATAGAATTCATCCATCAGATCCATGGACGAAAACATGGTACTATTCACCATACCATCTATGATGACGTGCTTGTGACTCAGAGAGCGAGATTTCTCGCTCTCGATGTAACAGAGGTCCATTGGTAAGGGCCTCCTATTTCTTGTCGTCTCGTAGGACGATGTTTTGACGAGTTAGCCAGAGACTGTCTTAGGCTGAATTCTTCTTGTTCCGCATACGCTATCGCCTTTTCCAGCGTATGGAAGTCCTATCGGAACATGTAGGTCTTCACGGGTCCATCTACAAGGTCGAAGATGAACACGTTGATGAGTGCGTGCTCATTTACAGGGTTTTCCGTGACGCTACTCGCAAGGTAGCGTAGGTGTTGTGTGTAAGCATGCACGTCACGCTTACCTTGCTTTAGCCTCAGGAGTGCAGAGCGTGCTCGGAACTCGGCTCTCGGCGGCTCAAACGTCTCTTTGAGCCGAGACTTTAAGTTCTACAACGACTCAAAAACGATGCCGAGACTTTAAGTTTTACAACGACTTAAACACGTTGGGTCGTGAAGCTTGAGCCTTTAGGGCCCAAGTCTTTGCTCGTCCTGCCAAATTTGACAGGGTGAAGGTGACTTGCATCTTGTCACCTTTGATGTGACGGGCCCTGATGGCGTCGTCTAACTCGACGGACCATCTCATAATAAAATCTTCATCGGTTCCCTTTTACCTTGAGATTTCTATCTTCTAGGTTTCGGGTCGACGCATGTGCGTCGGCCCACCCATCGACTGATGAGAGCCTTGCTGTTGTAGCAAGGCTATCTTCTGTCTTTCGCCGACAAGTCCCTCTTGTAGGAACTTATAGGTAGCAGCTTGTTGCTGGTCTCTGCTTGGAGACTCAAACTTACCACTGATGGCGGGTTCGTCTACGAGCACACTCATGCGGCCGACTTCCTCCCATTCTGAGTCAATCAGGTGGCAGTAGCCTTCACGTGTGATGTGAATGCTGTCATCATCTGCGTCCAACATGTTCATGTTGGACGGACACTAAGTAGTCGTTGGAAGGACTACGAAGTGCTACCAGGTGAAACGGGGCACCCTTTGTTTGGGGTGCCGCGAAACTTCACGTACACTAGTACGTGTAGAGGAAGCGTCTACACAAACAGCTATATTGAGCAAAGGGTAAAGAGAACTGTATTTAATATAGTTAAGATATCAATATAACTTCAGTCTCTATCTAACTATATTAATCTACATTGTCGTATGACGACAACCTGCTCACCACTCATTACGCGCGTCTAGCAGAGATTAGTGATAACCTTGGTTGATATGTCTTTATCAACCAGTCTTTGAGCAGCACTTGAATATAATCCTACAAGGGGATACTATTCCTTCAATATTATTCATCTCGAATAATGTTGGTAGGGAATTGTCACGCTAGACAATCTCCCTATTGACACCGTTTGGTGTCAATGTCATGTAACGGGCTACCCCATTACACGCTGCACCCGCACATGAAAAATGGACGGTGTAAACATGTCCTCATATCGTCGGTTGATAACATGCACATGGACATTCTGTTCTGATATTGTTGATGTTAAAAACTTTACTACTGTAAGTGTTGCGATTGCTTTTTAATGGTAGTAATGATATATCACAGCTGTTTTCTGTTGCATTCGTTCCTTTTGCTTGTGTCTTTGTTGCTATATTAGTGGCGCTAATGTTGTTGTTGTCGATGTTGCTATTGTATCTGCAAAAGTTGTAGAATATGAATTTGCTCCGACTCGTTTGATATCGTTACGCAAGCGTATAAAACCAAAGCAATAGACCGTCAACGAACACATTCTGTCTGTTTGACTTTCTTACATATTTATTCGAATGATTGCAGACTTCTTCGACTGCAGGTTTACCGCAAAGAGGAAAGGTGCAATGCTATCTTACGCATATTCTATCGAGGTAGTTTGTCCTTTTCGATTTTACGAAAATGCTACTTTATTGGTGTCTTCATGACGTTGTGGATTATCGTCATAAATATGTAAATTTAATTTGCCATTAGCTCAGGATTCGATACAATAGAGCCATTTAAAATTTCCGCGTGCAAAAGGCGTGTCCAACATGAAGCTTTGATACAAAGCAGCATGAAGTCTAAACTAGTGCGATTGAAGACATTAAATTGCTGTTGCACGAATCACCGGTGCTGTTAAATTCTATAAACCCCAAGAACAGCACGCTGGACGTGAAGAGTTTAAGAGGTAAAGCTGTTACACACAGGACATTCGATTTCGTCGAAATGTTAAGTCACCCTCAGCATATATATCAGTCTTTTGTACATTTGCAGATATGCATTGACGAGATGTAGCGTTAATACGCGAGTGTAGCATAAGTCCACTCAGTCACGGTGAATATCCGCATGACCGTAACAAGGGGTCATCTGTTTCGTTTATTCCAACAAATCTGTATATTGTGTGTGAATGGTGGATTTAAGACGTGGTCAAAGCACGATGTCGGGATACATGTGCCACGTTAACTTGAGTATACCAGGAAGATAGGTGCTTTCATATTCTTATTATCTGGGGGCATTTTATATTCGTAATTAAACAGGGCATCGTTTTCAATTTTCCTTTTATTCTACAGTAGAACAATCCAAATTGATATTTTGAAAAGGGTTGAGCTGCATAATGCAATACTTGTAACGGAGTTATACGGCGGTCATTGAATTGGTTATGTTGTGTATCCACACCAAATAGAGATCGGTGGATCTGAGTAGTTCAGTATTAATACCACGTACCGACGATTATACCTCACCTTATCGGATAAGAATAAGGGATATGACTTCTGTCACAGGATCGCAATGTAGAAGTCAGTCAGACACAGTTTTATGGTTTTATTACCGTAGTTGAAGAAAAATTAAGTTCAGTTCCCTTTAAATCGTTGACCATAAATGCCTAGATAAGGCGTAGTATGTTATTAAGAGCAATAGCCTTGTAAAGCATCTGCTCTTGTTTAACTAGTAGTGACTAGTTATTGTGTGATTCTGTGAATCGTAATCTTTTGGAACCGGGATTGTTAAGCTTGTACGCTTGAAAGACTGTACGTCGTTGTTAATTTTTAAAATTAAGATAATCTTTGAGTCTAAGACTTACTCTGTTAAGGAGCGCTAAGTAGCTCCGCTACAATTATTATCCTCTCTCAACGTTGGGTTCATTCAGGTTTCATGGAATGCAACAGCTATCTAATATGATTATCTCATTTGGTTGATCAGGAGGCGTGATCTCATTGCTCATAGTATATGTATACTGAGAGAGAGAAGCAGACGTGTCTATTATACCTATTTCTGGTTGTAGGATGTCTGATATAGCTTAAGCCTGGTTAGCAACGCCGGTGTCTCATACGGATCCGGTGGCTGTACAAGGCTTCTCACCCGAGGTGATGGCTCTCTTGGTTGCCTGGCCACTTGTCTGAGACATAATAGCAGACGCGCATCTAAAATTTTCGTGTCCGCCCGTCGATACTCCCGCTTTGCGACCGCCCGGAGTTGTCGCAGGCCGGTGTGCCAAAATTCCTCGACGCTGCCTTCTATAGTTACGATCTTTTTTAGGAACGTAACGCGATTTCTCTACAGCCAAAATCTTGTAATGCAGAAGCTTCAGGATTCGCCATAATCGTGCCGAGACCGTCGCGTAGACACGTTCTTCGTCGGGATGGTCGCGTTCAATACGATCTACCACCACCTTCGATAGCGCCGGCGGCTGCCTGCTGGCACTAAATTGTTAAAAATTCCTGCAGATGGTCCATATTCCAACGCTCACCAGTTCATTGACAGATAAGTTTTTGCCAACATGCCTGCGCGCAGGGGCAGGTCCAAAAGGTCTGCTCCGACGACTCGTTCTCACCATTAAAGCACCGGAGCTTGGAACAACTGGGGTCCAGCTCCCGTCCAGAAAAATACATGTTCAGTTGCCGCACATTTACACGATAGCAAACCTATACCTAGTCCTCTGTGAGCTCCGAGTTATGTGCCCAGAGAGAGGCAGGTGTCTGTGTTAATGCCTCAGTTTTCCAAGCACAGTTGCTCGCCGCGTTCTCGAGTCGCATCACTGTCGGAGCGATCGTATCGCATGAGCCTCTAAACCATCGAAACGGTTGTGTCTCGAGCGTCGGCTGGACGTGTTTGATCGCGAAAGAATCCGAAACACTCCGAGGCAGCCCGTGAATCAGCGGATGCGCGTAGAAGACAATGTCTCGTGCAGTTTGGTGCCGAATAAGCGTCTGACAGTCATATGCGGTACGCGGATCCGCGACATTGTCCCCTGCACACTCCAATGGAAACCATCACTCTCCTGGTCCAGCAGGACGACACTCAGTTGCTCGGTGAGTGTAAGGTGCCGACCCCTCCCATTCGACCAGGCGAAACGAATTCTCAGGTATAGGCCTGCCCCAGGTCAGGGGGGTGCCGCTAGCACAAGGTTCTCTCAATGTGCATCCAGCCCCCAACTTTCAATTCGGGCGCACTCAAAAGAATCGCTATCTCTCAGCGACGCAGATTGAACTGGAGTGCATGTCGCTACCAGTCGGAGGAATAACGAACGAGTACGTCTGGACCCCGACCCGATGCAGTGTCAGCTCCGCGACAGCACATGGCTTAATCTTGGCACACGCCCTGGCAGCTCAAATTTCCCCGGCGATCTTCTACCCACGGATTATCAGCCTACGAGTCAGTGGCCCAAAAGGTTCTCTCTTTCGTGGTCATTGCTCGGGAGCAGCGTTGCTGTGGAAGATAGGTTCTCGAGATCTGCCATGTACTGCTTCTTCCGTCCTACTGGACCCGGTAGACTAGGCGACAGCCACGGCCCGAGCAGCAGTTGAAGATTATTGCCAGGGGTCCGCTGAGATCGCAAAAGCTGATGTGGTCAGTCGGGTATAGGAGACAAGCCTGCGGTCCAGGATCGTGTAGCTCCTTTAAATGCCCAAGATTGACAGGCAGAAAAGTAGGTGTCCTTGCGTTGCGTAAATCACATCTGTTAAAAGTAAGAGTTAAGTCAAGTAAACAACTTGTGTATTTCCGCGCACCAGACGCGTTTCGGCCCCCCGCCGGGGGCCTCATCAATGGTTTGTCAATCCACAAGTGAGAACTATCCATACACCTAGCTGCTGTACGACCTATTATAATGCATAAAAACCTAAAGAACATTCTACACATACCCTATCATTGGTCAAATCTCTGGAGTCGAAATAGTGCTTCATGCACTTCCAACACTCCCCCTCGACGACATGAGATGCAGACCACTTGGGTATCCACCCGCCTGTAATCCTGACTGCTGCATCCGCGCTCCATGGGAATCTTGATTGAGGCTTGCCCCTGCGCTCCAGCCAACCTCGATGATACCGAGCATCTCAGGTATTCCGTCTCCCCCATCGTCCATCACCACGTCACATCTTGACACCTCGTAGTCGTCGTTCGCCTTGTATGTAGTTTTCGCTTCTTTTTAACCACAAACATACTCGTCACCACTAAACTTGACTCTTCCTTCGATAGCACTCGCGCATTCTGACCATCTCGCGTCACCGCCCTTGCACAAACTCTTTTCAACTGCACGCGCACCGTCAACGAACCCTGTCGATGAATTCTTCGGCGCCTTACTTGTGTATCAAGCGCCTTCTCTGGAGGGGTGTTCCTCGCACAAGTTGGTCCTTAATGAGATGTCTGCAGGAGCACTTAGGCTCATAACCTGTTAGAATTAAGAGTTAAGTCAAGTAAACAACTTGTGTATTTCCGCGCACCAGACGCGTTTCGGCCCCCCGCCGGGTCCTCATACGTGGTTTGTTAATCTACAAGTGAGAACTATCCGTACATCTAGCTGCTGTACGACCTATTATAATGCATAGAACCCTAAAGAACATTCTACACATACCCTATCATGGGTCAAATCTCTGAAGTCGACAACAGTGCATCATGCACTTCCAACAACATCATGGCATGCTTCACGCGCTGTGTGTTACAGAAGATCGGTATCGACGCTAGCCCCACACCGCCCGCGTTTTTGGGCGTGTGTAGAAGCGCTGGCGTACTTTTGTGGCGGGAGGCATCTGTACTTGTCGAGCAATGCCACAAAAATTGCTTCTGGATATTTCCCAGCTGCCGTTCCGCCCATGGCGGGAGATCAGATACAGCCACAGTGAACAGAACGGACGGTAACACGATGACACTAAGATCCTAACCCGTAGCTCTACACTGGTCGCGAGCTGAGACGATGTAGCCAGGCGCCGTTGGATTTAGCGGATTTGTGCTGCCCAATTTGCGTCCGTGAGCGTGCCCGTCCTGACTGAGTATCCCACGTATCACCATGCCGAAGCACAGGGATGCCGTAGAATACTGCCTTATGTACAGCTAAGTTGAGAAAAATTAGCTTGCTTTTGCGTGATTGGACCCGTAGTCCCAATAGACGACCAAAGCGCTCCACAATCTGTAGAACACTCGGCAGCTGTTCCGCTTCCTGGAAAAAGGCAGCCGCATCATTGACGAATTCAGGGTTGTGTCGCGCGCCTGCACCGTGGTGAACCAACATGCCTGATAGCTGCACATCATTTTTAATTGCTAACGCAAAAACCTCGGCAGCAATGATGGAAAGCAATGGAGCGAGTGGGCACCCTTGGCGAATACCCGGAACAACCTCGTGTGGCTTCGAAAGCTCCCCGTTCACAAGGAATCAGGCCGTGGCTCCGACGTGAAGGTACCCTGATCATAGCAACAAAAGCAGGCGAAAATCTAAACCGCGATAGTGCCAAGAAGAGGAAATCACGGTCCACCATATCTTAGGCTTTACGAAAGTCGAGTATCAGGATCGCCGCACTGTTCTTGTCAGGCACTGCGGGCTGGGCCGAGGCTGTATGAAGCACTCCCATCATCATCATGACAGTCTTGTGCATCTGTCGCCCGTGGACAAATCCCTGCTGCGATTCCCCAATCAATGTCCCCAAGAATAGTTAAACGCGCTTTGCGATGACCTTTGTGAATATCTTCTACCCAGTCTCTAGCAGTGCGATCGGCTTGTAGTCCATCGCGTCGTCCGAGTCCCCTTGTTTGCGTAGTTGAATGATGAGTCCCTCGAAAAATGATGTAGGAGGGAGACCTCCTTGAAGGAGCTCGTTGCCAATAGCGACCATAGCAGGTGCCATGGTCGCCTGACTGTCTTTAAAAAATCGTTATCAAGCCCGTCTGCTCCTGCTGCTTTATGCATGTTGAGCCCCTCAGTGGCTACAATCACCTCATTCAGACCAATCTCGCATATCAGAAAGCCATTATCAACCGCCGAGACTCGTCGTGAGTCCGGAATCTGGACAAAGGCATCAAACTCCGTCCCATGTGCGTATACGGCGTCGTCCTATGCACGATCCCCAATAAAGAATACCATTCCGAGGCAAACCTGTCCGCTGTCATCATGGTACGCGTAAACTCTGCGCGATTGATTTGACGAATTAGGAAATGGTTTGATCCTTCTCGAAGATAGAGACCAGCTTAAAATTCCACCGAAGTAGATCCTTTGTCCGATCTAGCCGGCTACCAAGCCGTACCAGATGATCCTCTCGAGCCTCTTCGACTGTTACTGCGAGCAGCTCTTTGCGCGTCAAGAGACGAGCTCGGTTTTGGGCATGTACCCTAAGCACAACGGTTTTTCGGCTCGGCCCGCACGTTTCCGCACCCGCTTTATACAGCATACGCACTGCCGAGCGGTAACGTCCCAAGTCGCCGCTGTTGCATTATAACCCACTCCCTCTGCTATCAAATCGTTTAGTAATTCCGTGATAAACGAGTAGGCTGCGCAGATCTGATATGGTATGTAACATGACGCTTCCCCCGCGGAATATGATCAGAGACCGTATCATCCTGGAACTGCAACCGCATTAGTTGATGGTCCGACGGTACTGGCGGCTCGTCAACCGAAACTCATTGCACTACAGACGACCAGGATTGAGGCACGTAGGATCTATCAATACGGCTCACCACCTCAGGCCTCCAGTACGTAAAAATATTCAGGGTCAGGGTCATCGCCACTTCCATCCACATTGTCACTGGGAACGCGAGCGTCCACCAAATTGATAGGTTCGACTATGGCCTGAAGCGCCACACTTTTCGGACGCCCCGACCCATTACCACCGAGCCTGTCCAGTGCCGGACTCTGCACACTGTTAAAGTCCTCAGCCAGAACCGTCACCTTCTGCGTCCATGGTCATTGCTGTAAGCCAGTAAAAACTGCTCGCGATCCACCGGCGTGTTTGGTGCACAGACATTCACTAGCCGGAAGTCGCCTATGTCCACTACGAAAACTCGGTTGGACCAGCCAGCCATATTCCAAGGGGTCGCTGACTCTTTCACAGTAGGATTTAGGAGAATCGCTACACCTGCCGCCCGTGTATCACTGACACTCTAATACGATAACTCGGGACTATCTGGACGAGGCAGTTGCCCACATAAGCGGGCCCAGGCAATGGTGAGTTCGTCGACCTCGCTTTGATCGCATACATGTGTCTCCTGTATAATCTAGACCAACGGGTGGTGGACATGAGGCGTCCGTCTCCAATCATTAAGCCACCGCCCCCTAGACTACTCTCAAAATCCTCGGACGCTGTGATTTTCAATCCTTCTAGACCCATGCGTTTCGTGTCCATTTTGTCCTGCGCTGACCGGGACATTTAAAGGAAGTGATCGAAGTTTTGCAAAATGCACAGTGAATATATTTAGGTCCTTAGTTCACAACCTCCTGTTGCTACTCTAAGCCTACTGAATTCTTTCTGACTCTACGTTAGTAATCGTCTAGTCGTACATTACTAATCGTCTCGTCGTACGTTTCTAACTCAGATAGTGTGTTTCTAACAAACACCGTAACTTACTAAGATGGGGGACGTCACTGTCTGGCAGGACAGTGCTGGTGAACCCCGGCACACCAGTACCCGAAGGTTTTAACTTTTTGTTGCAGTCACAGGATATCGAACCAGTGACCTCTCGCATGGTGCTGCCACACCAAACCACTTGAGCTACAGATTCTTGTGCGAATACGCATGCCGAGGCACATTTGTGACAACAACGTTCGCTGGAGATATTTGTGACGTCCGTATATATCTGTGGCTCGGGGACCCTCTTCGATGGTCATATCCGCAGCCGCTGGGATGTGGCTGCCCTTAGTAATCGTGAGCACGCTCGCTTTCCCCGTGCATAAAAACATCGAAGAATAAGCGTGCTAGTTTGCCCCACTCAACTGTATTGTTCTTGATAGCGAACGCGTCCCGATATCGAGCAACCGTTTTCAGCGCCTCGAGGTGCCTGCTCAGACGATGCACAGCCTCGTTCTCCGCACTGTCCTCTTGACCAATCAATACTCGGATTTCCTTCCCGTATAACCCAGCGCAAATGACGTGTTTATCAAAGCGACATCTGTTGCTCATGTCACACAGTTTTAGAATCGGGTCTTCCCCGTTAGCATGGGTACGCAGACGCACCCAGTCATTGCGGCTGTCCGTGAGTGCCGGTAAATTGTACGGGGCCGTCCTGGTCAATTTGGTGACCCAAGTGTCCAACCACTGGCGCGTCGACGGATGCGACGTCCTTGCACGAAACGATAGCAACCTACTTTGCACGCAACTACGTCTCCAAGCAGCAGTCCAGATTTCAAACACCTGATCGTCCAAAGCGCTGAGGATTTCCTCTGTATAGGGGAAGCTCTGCAGCATTGAGAGGGGCCCCCTCCGCCTACGCTAAGCCACCTCGATCCAGTCCGCGATGTTACTGTACACGTGGGGTAGGGCAACAGTCGCTGAAGTTGGCCAATACTCGACATGTTTCAGCCACAGCTCCTGCCAGGAAGCGCCCGTGCCCCCAAGATCCGATGAACATGTACGCTGAGCCTCGTCCTGCATAAAAGCCTCCCCATCTTGGGCACTGACAGCTAACCGAGTGCGCATTATTAGCAGAATTTGTTCCCCTTCTACAAGAGTCGTGAAATGAGTACGCTTCTGAGCAACTGGAAGAGCATCCGTGTCCCAAGCGGTTTACGTCAACGCGAGTTGAGATCCTGATGTCCACATTAGTAGTAACAACCAACGAAGGTTCAGGACGAATCACCGGAGAGAGCTGATAATGCCCGGGCCGCATAACAACGTCAATGGCGCCGGACGTTTGTGATATTGTGGCATCCGATTTGGTTTCTTCCAGTGGAGAGAACGCAACATTACCCGGCACAGCTTGGGTATGTACTTAGGCAGAGTAATGGGCACCCCAGAATCGAAGTCCCAGTGTGTCTTGGTCCTGAGATTTAGCAGCTGTGATACCGTGAACGCATTCGCCGATTGCCAAAGGAACGTGTTGGCCTGTCTCGAAGAGTCTGCCCCCCCCCCGCGTTGAAGTTCCCGGTCTGTACACGGAGCAGGCCCACGAATTCTGACCGTCCGTGTTGTGTGCCATCATAGTATATAGATGTTGCATTTTCAATACAAAAAAGACATAAATGGAAGTCGCGGTTCAGTGCTTACACTATTTCTCCGTTCAGTCTCCACCCCACCCTCCCTTTCATTCAAGTTTTTTTCTAAAATTTCAGCTTCAGATTAGCGACTATAGTAAAAGATGCGACTAGCAAAAGAAACAATCTGAAAAACACTTGAAAACGCTAGTTTCTGTCAAAAATTAGCTCATTTTAGTCCGATCAATGAAAGGGGCACTTTATGCGGGACTAGATTCTCGTAAAGATAGGATGTCGACCACATCTGCGAGAAACGTTTGGTTACATCATGCGAGAGGATTGACGCAATAGGTCGCGTGAAAGATATTCGTAGTCGAGGCGGGCAAAAGAAGAAAGAATGTTTGGACACATCTACCTAAATTATGACGACAAAAGAAACGCACCCTAAACGATCGCGTGTTTTGTCAAGCGCTGATCCATCTTCGTATCGTCCAAAGTCGTCCATCTCTCAATTTTCGCCGATTCGTCATGAATGTCGTGCGCGTTCACCCTTCACAAAAGGATTGAGTCAAAGGTCACACAGTACCCACAGCGGATACACCTTGGACAATCGCATAGTAAGAAAAGAGTTACGCGACGAAACTATACTCGAACGACGAGCTGGATGGCCTGTTCGATTGAGACGTTATCCGTGAAGTTGCCCAGGGAACGTGTGAGTTGAAGAGCACGAGATCGCGAACTTAGTCGTGTAATTCGGCATCCTGCAGAGCACAAAGGTTCCACAAGTAGTAGCAACCTAATTTGTCGGCAAAATTTAACATAAAGATGGAAAGCATTTCTCGAGCTCTCCTGTTGTTTTCATTGTGCGTCTTTCTACGATAAGCGCTTCAACGAGCACGAGCGTGCGTGTACACCGAGAACTGATCGCTCCAGCAGACCAGTATTACGAGGATACAAGCGACAGTCCTGTTGCGGTGATCGAAACACTCCGTCCCTCGAAGCTATCGGGAGACCGGCATGACGTAAGGAATTAATTTTCACAAGAGCATAGCAAGGTCCAGCGTCTTGGCATTAAATCAAGAACTACCATACGCATCGATGATCCGCTTCTGAACGGGTCGATAGTACGCGATGTGGAAATTAGCAGATCAGGGCATCGATCGTTCCCCGCGACCCTTTACGGTTGTGGTGATCGGGGACGTTAATTTTGTGACCAGCGCACCTGATTACCGGATCGGCCATTCACCGATGCAACAAACCTCGTCCTGCCTGGATGAGCCCATTGGAATACGCTACATAACCATGCACTTGCGTTGTGCTTGCTATAGAGGTGTTTACTCCTTCCGCATTTCGCTACGATCACTGATCCTTCTCACACTTTTGATTCGATTTCACAGTCGTCGCTTCGGCATTGTGAATACTGATGAACGATACAGCTCAAGAGCTGACCCAATAGGTCCAAGTGTCGCCTGAACGCAGCATCAAACTGCTTCAAAGTCCTGACGGCGACATGTGGTCGAGCGAAGCAGGTGGTCATCCCGATTAAATCTCTTGCACCAGCTCTGCAGTTCGGACCAAAGGTCACAAGACAATGCGAACATTGCCACCACCGCGGCAAGAACGTCCGTTTCCTGTAGACACGGCCCTGCGCGACGTTTCGATGGTGGCGCTGTTCCATCTGCGAAGCAAATGTGCTTGCACACGATCAACAGATCGTAATTGTAGCCGTCGCTATTACATAAGGAGCCTGGAGCCAGCACAAAAGTAGCTCTGTTGTCACAGGTTGACCGCCTGGTCTAACGCACGTAGTCGCAGTTTGGCACGTGCCCCTTGCACGGACTGACCATGAAGCTGGTCACGGGCTATGTCGTTCATACGGCAGAAACTTCGTGTGCGGCTGTCACCGTACTTTATCAAAGCTGGTTGTTTCTCTCACACCCTTGACCAGGCGCTCGACATCTCGCATTCCTGAATAAAGCACGACCCAAAGTCAGTCGCTAGTAAAATGTTGGTCGTCAGCAAATTTGTGCTCGCGAGCTTATTCCTGTAAGGAGCGAGGTCCAGATCGAGACTCCTTCGACCCATCGCACGATGGCGAGCAGTCACAAAGCGGCATTTTCCTCTCATTTTCTGGTATGCGGTCGTCGAACAAAGCGCCTCACCCTGTGATCCGTTTCGCTTCCAGTGCGACGTAACGCGAGTTTAAAGCGACGTCGTACTTTTACAACACACGAGAACGTCGACTTCCTCGCAACGTGTCAGTTTCTGATTGTGCTCGTCAGCACCAAGCTATAGTCTGAGTGGTGACTGATCGGAAGAACCTGTGCGAGAGATCAAGATGCGGCAATGCGCCAAGATGCACGATCAAGTCGGTCTAAGTTGTTGTACGATCAGCGACTATGACAGCTTCAGCCTAATGGTGGACAAAGAAAGCCGAGAATTGCTCGTGCAGAAGGGGGCTGTAGGTCGTCGATGTGCGATTGTGGCACTGCCCACTGAAGTTCTAACTACTACCGCATCGGTTTAAAGCTATCCCATTCAGGCACGGCGCAGCTTTGACAGAAAGCTCTAAACAGTTCTGCTGCTTACGTATGAGCTCTCAATCACTGAAGTACCCCAGCCGTCGACACTTTTTTCAAGATTGCAAGCTCCTACGTTCGTTCCACCTTCCCCTGGTGGATGGCAATCCAGTACTTGTAAGAGGTATCTCAATCCGGTCACCACACAATGTGCCTATTCAAACAGGTTTACATAGCAGACCTGGCTGAAGAGGATTTTTTGGACGCTGCTGACGTGGATGTTTTATCCGTTCGTTGGCGTTTCGTCTAAACATAGCGTGGTACACATGAGCTGAGCAATCTCCGTCTAATCAACCTCCAAGAAAGGATCGTGCCCCGGACTTGATTTTCTTATGCTCGGGATTCACCTAACAAAATCGTCTGGAATTCACCTGTAATAAATAATAGAACCTATATTTTATTACACTTGCCTTGTTCCGTTGCAGCACCCGACTAACGATAGCTACGCTGCATCATCCATTGTAGAATTGACTTGTGGAGCCCAAAGCTTTGTGATCAGACTTGCCGAGGAACCTGTCGACTCGAGAATGTTGCGCGCCACCGCTCCCTTGCGTGCGTCTTTCGCTCTGGCTTCGCGTCGCGGTTTACTCGTGACGCGTGCCATGTCGTCCCTCCCTTCTTTCGCCACTGTGGACCCGAACTGCAGTGGAGCGAGCCCTGCCGTTGGTTTTAACTTGGGTACGTTTTTATCGCTCTATAGAGGTGGTCAATGGTGGGTCCTCTATTTGAAGCGCAAATAATCAGTCACTTATCTCCCCCTTATCGCTACTTTCCATAGTGAACGGCCAATGGACGCAAACAGCCAAGACCGAAACGATCCTGGACCCGCTGAATGGCGAAGCTTTTATGACCATGCCGCTCACGCAGAAAGACGAGCTGGCGCCGTTTATCCAGAGCATGACGAGCTGTCCCAAGCACGGGCTGCACAACCCTTTGAAGAACGTCGAGCGCTACATTCTGTACGGTCAAGTCTGTGCCAAGGCAGGCGCCATGTTCCGGGAAGAGAAAGTGGCTGACTACTTTGCGAAGCTTGTGCAGCGCACGTCACCCAAGAGTTACTACCAGGCGCGGAATGAAGTCCGCGTGACGGGCAAATTTCTCGAGAACTTTTCGGGAGACCAAGTGCGCTTCCTCGCGCGCTCGTTTGGTGTACCAGGCGACCATAAGGGACAGGCGAGCCACGGCTACCGTTGGCCGTACGGTCCCGTGGCGCTGATTACGCCATTTAACTTTCCCATTGAGATCCCACTGTTGCAGATGATGGGGGCCTTGTTCATGGGCAACAAGGTGTTGTTGAAGGTGGATTCCAAGGTGTCGATCGTCATGCAAGAGACGTTGCGTCTATTGCACGAGTGTGGCATGCCCATGACCGATGTGGATTTTGTCCACTCGGACGGCGGTGTAATGAACGAGCTGCTGCTGAAGATCAAGCCACGCAACACGCTGTTCACTGGGTACGCGTCTTTTTGTCTTGCATCTAATCGTGGATGCATGCCGACTTTATTTCTCACGCATCTGCTGATGATTTGTAGATCACAAACTGTTGCGGAAAAGCTTGCAAAGGACCTAAACGGTCGTATTAAGCTGGAAGATGCAGGTTTTGACTGGAAGGTGCTTGGCCCCGATGTTAGCAACTTTGATTACGTCGCCTGGACTTCTGATCAGGTACATGCACATTTGTCATCATTGTGAGGAGTTTTGCGTCTGCGTCTCGGCTAACACTTCCGATCATGTCAGGACGCTTATGCTTGCTCTGGACAGAAGTGCTCGGCTCAGTCCGCTTTGTTCATGCACAAGAACTGGGTAAAGGCTGGTTTGGAAAAGAAGCTTGCTGAACTCGCATCACGACGGAAGTTATCTGATCTGACGATTGGGCCTGTGCTGACGGTCACCACAAAGCGTATGCTTGAGCACGCTGATTCTCTGTTGAAGATTCCAGGTGCGCGTGTCGCGTTCGGAGCTGAAGAGCTTGGTACGTCATGCGTGCGTCCGTTGTGATGATTACCAGATTCACTTGCTGACGTTTTGTATATGCGCGATACAGAGAACCACACGATCCCGGAACAGTATGGCGCGGTCAAGCCCACTGCTATCTTTGTCCCGCTCAAGGAGTTTGTCAAGCCGGAGAATTTCGAGCTTGTGACGACGGAGATTTTCGGTCCTTTCCAGATATTGACTGAGTACGATGACAACGAGTTGCCCCTTGTTCTGGATGCTCTGGAACGTATGGAAGCTCATTTGACTGCTGCTGTGGTCTCGAACGACCTGGAGTTTACCCACGAAGTACTTGCAGCTACGGTGAACGGTACGACGTACAGCGGCATTCGTGCTAGGACAACGGGTGCGCCTCAGAATCACTGGTTCGGCCCTGCAGGTGACCCATGTGCAGGTGGAATCGGTACGCCAGAGGCCATTAAGATGGTGTGGTCTTGCCACCGCGAGATCATCAATGATGTCGGTCCTGTGCCCGCAGACTGGGCGATTCCTGAGGCCACGTAAGTGGTTGACACCGTGCCGGTGTTCTCCCGTATACCCAGCTCGGCGGTGCTGAACTATCCTCGACTCGACGTGTTTGCAGGTCTAGTTTTACGATGCATGAGCAGATGTAGAAACAGAGCAAAAGAATGAAACGTCGAACGTGGTTGAATCGTAAGATTAATGCATCGTGTGTGTTACAAGAATGGATGCGGTAATACGTCAGTCTGAAGCGAGGAGTAAGGACGCATCAAATAGTAATATCTCGTTACGATTAGGTTGGAAGAGCATTGGAACTTACAGCTCCTCAAGCTCCCACGCTGGAGCCTGGTTCGCTTCAGTCTCCGATAAAATCCGCGGCGTCGGGTCGTCTTCTTTCATGACGAGATCGTCCAGCAGCTCGTGCAGTTCCACGTCCGGAGCCCCCATATCGTCCTCCTCCATCACGTCATTGTCCGAAATCGGCTTGGTCTCATCTTTGTATAGATTAATTTGAGAGCGCATGTCCTTGTCCTCTTCGAGTTCGTCCAAGAACTGCTCATAGTCCTGCTCGTCCTTCGAAAGGTCAGCCTTGCGAACAGCACCAACCTGCTCCACGCCCTCCATCTTTTTCAACTTCCAGTTGCGCGCACGCTTTTGGATGCGACGTGGGAACACCTTCTTTACAAGCACAACGTCTGGCATCGACAATCCCGTTTGTACGAGCGGAGTCAGGTCAGAGTCGTTAAACACTGCAGACGTCAGGTCGTAGCCGCGTACTGAATCTCCAACATGGAGGATCATGCCAAGGTGGCTCACAGTGGTAAGACGCGTGTCATTTACACCAAAATCAGCGTCACGCACAACCTCCAATTCAGCGAGTCGGGTCTTCCGAGTCACACGGATGGCACGGCCACCACCTGACGGAATCGCCATGGGAGTCGAGTCCAAAACGGTAAAGTCCGTCATGGCCTTAATTGATCGCAACCCGCGGAAAGGATACCGCCAGTACTTTTCCGAATCAATCTCCGCCACTTGGGTGGTGAACGGGTCAATGACATGGATACACGAGGTAACAGATTGCACAAGGCAAAGGCAGGAAATATTGCCCAGCATCCGGGCCAGCTTCACTGGCAGCAAAACCAAGTCGTCCTTACACACCGGCGCAATCTCCACTGCATATGTAAACTTGTAGTTGTGTGTGTTGCTGTGGTTGTCAGCAGAAATCAGCTTCTTCGCAGTCTTCAGCTTCATCGGTACAGACTCCTGCAAGAAATCCACAAATCGCAGTGCATGGTTGCGCTCCGAGAAGAAAAAGTCAACACCATCCGGATGCGACTCGATGCTTGTTGTCTTTTCGTGAGCTCGGTGCTTCAAAATAAGCTGTTCGAGAAAGAAGAACGTCCGCTTGTGGTCTACGCGCTGACGCACTTGCACGACCGCGCGCCACGACTGGTTGGCAAACGAGGCTTGGCAAGCGTCGCACTGCTGGTTGCGCACGACAAAGGTCACAATGAACGATTGCTGCATGACCATCTTGCTCAAGACCTCTTTCTGCACCGTGAGCTTGAGTTTCAGACGCCGCGAGTGAGGCTCGGTCCATATCCAGTTGGCATCAATGAGTTTCACGCGGTTCAAGTTGTTGATCTTCTTCAAGCACATTGCAAGCAGCTCACGAGACTCGAGCTCAGCCGCCACCCACGGCGGACGTGACCACCGCATGCAGCCACGGCATTGGTGGATAATCACTTCCTTGGGAATGCCTTCCGTCACGTCGACCTGCGACTTGAGACAGCTCACGCAGGTGTTGGCAGCGTTCGCAACGATGGGCGTCGCACACAGACAACACAAACTACAGCAGAAACAGGAACAGGGCACACGAAGACGAACGCATCGGATGTTTCAGAGAACAATTGTTAGTAGCACATTTCGTAGCTGTCCATCAACAGGCAAAGCAGACGGACACGCACATAGTTGGCATGGCACTCAGCATCGTGCTCATGGTCGAGAGTGGATTTGAACAAATGGGTTGAAACCAGCTAGACCACTGAAAGCGTGGTCGACAGTTTTAGCCAATCAAGCGATGGCTACATGTTGTTGTCGACACGATAACGACGAGCGCAATGTAACCGTATCATTGGCTTAAATAGCGGACACACGTGAATTCCTTACACCGAGTCTCCAGGATGGATGGCGGAGCGACTCCAGCAGCTGGCGCAGCAGGCTCTAGTGGCAGCGCAGCCATGACCAAGGACCCCGAGATCAAGTACATCTGTGGCGACTGCGGCATTGTCAACTACTTGTCGGCGCGGGACCCTATTCGCTGCCGCGCGTGCGGCTACCGCATCATGTACAAGGCCCGTACCAAACGTCTCATCCAGTTTGAAGCCCGATAAGCGACGACGCCTTGGACGTTCGATGAAGTGTCTGCAGGGACTGAAGTCAAGTTCTCACAGTGTCAGTTCTATGACGTAGAAAGACGTCATTCGGGCACGGTGTGCTGGATGCATGGCGTTAAACAGGAGGGCCAACCTCTCGATGGTGCTGCTGTAAAGAATACGATAACGAGGTGTTATACCACGTCTATTTAGCCACTTCTATTGTTGTTGCGTACAAAGGAGCTTGAGAATCTTGTTACGTGCCAGTGGCAGCGAGCTGCATGAGTGCAGGAGACTCTTTCCAAATGCGGAGTGCGCGCTGCTGAATGCGCGTCGCGTCGGTGAACAGTCCCAGACGTTCGACAAGGCAGCGCACGTACAACACCCAAACTTCTTCACGCGTCGAGCCAAACAACTCCACCAGCTTCTCGAATAGTTTCCGCACTGACGCCACGTTTACCGACGCGACCGAAGTCTCGATGTCCACACATAGCAGCAGGAACGAGTACGTCTCAGGACATGGCAACAGCTGCTCATCCACCATGAACTTGGTGTAGAGCGAGCGGACGTGCTCCAGAGACCGCCGGCAAGCAGACCAAGCCAAATACTGCTGGCGTATAGCGCTCCAGTGTGTTGATCCACGTTTCAATGCGCCAAGGGCATCCTTGAATACCTTCTCAACGACGTTCGGAGTCTCATCGATACTAACAAGTAATTGCACGAGTCGGCTGCGAACTGCAAACTGCGCGTCGTAATCTTCCGGTGCAATCTTCACTAGTGCTGTCTGCAAGATCGACACAGCAGCACCTAACGGGTTGCTTTTATAGACAGCAGTCGTCGAGCGATCTCCACGCGAAGTCCGGCAACGCTTAGCAGAGGGCGACTGGTTCATGTCGACTTCTTCGTGATCAGCGTGGAGCACAAGCTGAGACTGCAGCAGCCACATCTCTGAGGATTGTGGAAGCCACTCGTCGCAAATCTTACGCACAACCACTAGCGCTTCATCCGTACCATTCGTGCGGTGGATCAAGTCAATGTACTTCATCGCGAGAGATGAACTGCTTGGCTTTGCGAGAACCAACTCTTTTAGCTTGACGCGAGCATACTCTAGCAAGAACGCCGTCTGGTTGGAAGGGGCCAGGCGCGTCGTCATCCACTCTGCAAACATTTCCTTGATCGACACAGTGTCGAGCTCCTTGACGCTTGACTCAAAATTGTGTACTACCTCCTGCTCAGCTCGATGATTTGCCTCAGCCGACACACCGATTCCATCTTCTTCCACAGGCTTGCTTGAATAAAAAGCAGCTTTGTCTTCAATGGCCAACAGCGGGCGAAGTGCTTTTGCAGCGTGCACGACTTCGCTCCTCGGAAAGTTTGTGACGCAGTCCTGCAGAATGAAGTCCGATAGCGCTGCAGCCGTATAAGCACCAAACAGATCACGGATCTTCACGAACTCAAGGCGAAACACCACATCGTTAGGAATGGCCGCTACTGCACTAGTGTACACAATCTTTGCAATGGCTCCTTGCAGTACAGTCTTCCTAGCTATCACGGTCGCAGCCATTTCGTCCGAGATTTTGTCCTCTTCTGCCTCCTTTTCCTCCAAAAGCGTGTCAATGAGCACGGTCGATCCATCGTCCACAACCTTTTCCCCTGCATCTTCTAGTTGCAACACATGACGACGCATCGCCAGCTTTTGCACGTACAAAAGTTCCAATCGAAAATACTCGAGCCACAGCTTCTGGTGGTGCTTATTCAAGCGAATGGCACGTTGCATAAGCACGCGGGCCGAGTCCACATTGAGGTTCACACTGAACTCATACGACGCTGCTTCAATCCAGAGTTGCGCACTGCGTGGGTGCGACTGCAGTGCTCTTGAAAAGACGGACGACAACACGCGACTGCTGCCTTCTCGCTTGCAAAACGCCACGTACTGCAGCCAGAGCTCGACGCTGCCCCGGTACTTGAACAGCACGCGGTCAAAGATGTTGTGCACGCGCTTGACCCCTGCGACGTCACCAAGCGTGACCTTCTCAAGCCCAAGTCGTGTCTTCCGCGCTGCACGCAGGGCGTCCAGTTTCAGCTCGTACTCAATGTACCGCATCGCGTCGATCTTGCGCAACGGCACGCGACGGAGCGAGTACTCGAAGCCTCTTCGTTTGTCCACGACCTGACGGATCTCGTCCGCGGAGAAGAGCTTGCGCGCCTGCAGGTCCTCCAGCTCCGGCACCATCTTCTCCATCGTGATCTGCACCGTGTCCGCCATGGCGTCAAGTCTTCCTCCTGTTACTTAGTGTCGAAGGAGAGGCTCGAGCAGCTCGATGGATGACAACCAGCAGTCGAATCGCACTGGATGGACCAACGAGAGCGTGAAGTAAGCGTTGTGTGAAGGTGGTACGAAGGTTGTACGGATGTAGCGTTAATGTGGTCCACTTGTTTGACCGGAATGCACTCACCGATTTGCTTGTCAGTGAGCGCGTTTGCATGTTCCCTGACGACCGCTTCCACCCGCTCAAGCCGGACGCCGACCGTCTCCACGACGATCTGGTGGAGGCCGCGGAGCTTGAGGGCTCCCCAAAAACGTCCAAGGAACTGGACTCCACGCTAGTGCTGCACCAGTTCTTGCCAGCTTGGGACGTCCAGGCCTATGTGCGCGTCGCAGGCATTCGGTTGCACGTGCACAACTCCAAGTACCCAATGTACGAAGCTACCGGTACGAATTATTATTAGAGGGTGAAAATGTGGTTATCGGTTGTGTCTATGGACTGATTGTGGCTGTTTGCTGATGTCGTGGTGTTCGTTTTGACTTGATGTGTTGGTTGGTGGTAAAGGGGAACTGCCACAATTGAGCGACGGGAACTTCTTGCTGCCAAAAGAAGAGATTATCATGCATCTGCAGACGGTTCGTGCCTTGATAGCAATGATGCGTGCTGTTTTTTGTCGTTGGTTTCATGGGGATGATACTAACATCCGGGTACAGTTTCATACAGACATTGACAAGGATCTGAGTGACGTACAGCGCAGCGAGTCGTATGCTTACCGGTCGATGGTGTCGGAGAAGTTGAGGCGCGTTGTCCTGTATTGTCAGTGGGTGGATTCCGCTACGTACAACGAGGTCACGCGGCCGCACATGAAGCGCGTGCTTCCTTTTCCGTTGAATCTTTTTCTGCCGAAGAAATTGCATTTGGACACCATGGAGAAGCTTCGCTTGTATGGTATCCTAACAAAAGAGCAAGCGTACGTCATTGCACGCGATTGCTACACGTCACTCAATGCGAAGCTGGAGAAAGGTGGCTCGCCCTATTTTTTCGGAGACAAGCCGAGTGCACTGGATGTAGCCGTGTTTGGACACATTGTTGATGCGCTAGGGAACTCCCAACTAGCAGTTACTGTGCATCAACATGCGCCACTGCTGATCGGTTTGGCAGAGCGCATCCGCGACGCGTACTTTGGCGCTGACGGCGATCAGCCTGCGAGTCTCAGTGCAGAGGCTATGTACTCAGAAAACCAAGCCAATTACTTTGCGACCACGTCTGTGAATAGCGTTTTCATGAAGAAGATATCGACGCCATTGCAGATAGATTTCTTGAAACCTTATCGGAGCCTAGATTGGAGTCGTCGGGCGCTCGCATCGGAGGTAACTGAGAAAAAACGGGAGGAGGAAGATGAACGACGCGCAGTCGCGGAAGAAGAACAGGGTGAGGCTTTTCAAAAGGGTTCTCGCAATGTTGTGATCGGCGCCATCACAGCGTTGGTCCTGTACGCCGTGGCTGCCTGGCCAGTGGCTGTGGATATTGCTGAGGGGGATGACGGTGATGAGTATCATGAGGAAGACGGCGAAGACTTGAAGAGTGACTGATAGTGGCTGCTGGATGATACCCGGTGCTTTGTACCGTTGTCTAAAAGTACCATGCAAACCGGATGTGTTCGTGTGTTCACGGTAGCATTGTGCTCTGCATGATTTAATCTGGTGTCAATAGACACGGCTTTGAATGCGTATCACTTCGTTCACAAGACAAACTTACCGAAGAATTTATGAAAGCTCAGCTCAACACTCTTGCACAAACCTGCTATGCGTCTCGTTATTTGCACTACTCCAATGTATCTACAGGGTCACGAGATTAGCTGTCCAGATACGATCGGGACCCTCCTTCAATGTGCAACATGAAGGAACAGCATCTGAATGCTTCCGGCTCCGTCAAAAACTAAGAAAACGTAAACTTTCAGCTTTTGTAGCTAATTGATGCTTAGGAGAACAAACCTTGCAGTTAAGCCTTTTAGCTGATCGAAAAAGAAAAGGTATGACTCGAATCAGTAGAAATAGGGCTTTCTCGCTGATTTATTCAAATTTCAATCAAAATACCAGCCCACATACATTCCTAAAAGACAAAACTTTTAATTCTTCCTTTTAGTTTAGGACATTATTTTAGTCTTACTAGTTGTATGCTATCAAGGTCTGGTGAGCATTTCTTAATGCATGCAAATCAAACCCTACCCCCGTGCCGTTGAAAATCAAATTTGCAGCCCAAATAGAAGCATAAGATAGGCGAGCAAGCTCTGAAGCTCACCCTTTGTTGTGAGCAATGCAGTTTTAAATAAATATTGAGTTAAAAAACACTACTACTCTGTCCCGTTTGTTTATGGACTGAACAATGATGTGAACTACATGTACTATTACGACTGGCTAAAATCAACTTTCAGTATGTGTTGTTTGGCGATTCGTCATCACAGACAAGTTATTATAAGGTAGTAACAGTGGACACTCGCCAGCGAAACGAGGGTGACAACGATTTTCAGCTGCCACATGTCGATACGACCATTTTTTACGTGGGTCGCCTGCCCCGTCGTTACCGGTGGCTTCTGTGCTAATTTTACGAATTGTAATTCTTCTTAGAAAGAATGGCGAAACTGAGCCTTAAGCAAGACTAAAAAAATTACAAGGAGTGTATTTCTATTGGTCAATGTCATTCAAAATTTTACGATTGCTTGACCCATTCCGCCAAAAAATAATGAATAGCTTCACTTCTATTTACATCACTTCTGTAGTTTTTTTGTGTTCGTCATTGCTGATTAGATTGTCACACTGCTTTTTGGATTACTAGAACTTTTCGTTCGAGTGAAGTGTAGTACCTTAAGACTTTACTGCGTCAAAAAACACATAGCATCTACAAAACAGTCAGGCAAATATCAGTATATCTCTTCTATATCTGCAATTCGATGGGCTCCAAAATTTTCACGAGACGCTCTAGAATGAGTACTATGCGCTGGTAGCTTTTCGTCTGATTATTACAGGCTGTACCAATAATGCGAGATAAACGCGCGATAATTTGTAAAGAAAGGGAACAGAGTAATAGAAAATAGCAGTCATTACTAAAGGAACATGATGCTGTTATGGTCTGTATCAACCCAATGCAATATTCTTGGTGTAACGGGGCACCCTGAAGCTTGTACTGGTGACAGTACAAGCTACTTATTCTGATGACAGAATAAGGCGGTGCCTCGTAACTTCACGTACACTCGTACGTGCAGAGGAAGACGGTAAGAAGAAGCGAGTACTTGGTTAAAGTAAAAAGTAGAACTGTATTTAGTATAGTTAATGTCTGCAATAAATCACTATTTATCCTCATCTAACTATGTCTAAATACAAATGTGTAAATCAACTATCTGCTCACCACTCATTGCGTGCGTCTGTCGTGGCGCGTCTTCGTTGGTTAATATAATGGCCTATATCAACCAATTAGGAACTACTCGTAAGTGCTACAGAATATTTGTCCTTATGACAATATTCTGAGAATATAACTCTTGTAGTTATATTCTATTAACAATTTCTTATAAATTGTTATGTAACGATTCACCCCGTTACATCACCCCCCCCTTAACCATCAGTCACTTTAGTGACTGATTGACTAAATGGATACTCGTCCCAAATCATTTGGGACAGGGTTTGCACTTGTTGGTCCGAGTCCACTTTCCAACATTTCATCGCATGGTTAACAAGCCCATGCAATGCGCGAGCAAGGCCGCCGAGAGCGCGTCCGCACGTCTCTGTGCGGACGCCGAGGCAGAAACCACAGCAACTGATGTCTCATCGGTTGCTGAAGCGACCCAGCCTGTGTCACTTGGTGATGCAGGCGCTGGTCATGAAGACACTCATGTCTTCACAGAGTACGAGCTCGGAGTCTCGTACTCTCCTGATACGGAAGACGGATCCGTATCGACGGCGATCGAAACCAAGCCGCCTGCCAAGCGTGGCATGGATGATGCTTTGCGTCGTAGCATCTTTGGTTCATCTGATGAATCAGATGAACCTTCGCCGAAGCGTAGGCGCTCGAGGTCGCGAGACTCGTGCGCTAACAGTGGTGTCGGTTCTCCTATGGACACCACTTCGCAACGAGGTGCCAGTACTTCTGTCGGCACATCGCAGGAAGAGCGGGATCGCAATGTCTTGCGTCTCGCTCCCGAGAAGAAGGCATGGATGCCTCCAAAATCTGTCATGGATCACTTGTCGGCGACGACAAGTGATCGCTATCGAACACGGTTGTTCGATTCGTCAAGGATCCATCACCTTGACCCCAGTACGAAAAACTATCGCGCTGAACATGAATTCTTTATCGATGCTTTCTTCAAACATCGATGGTACAGTGGGAATCACAAACGTGATGGTCCCTCACTGCTTCAGGCGTGGAACGCCTACATCCATAACCTCGAGGATTTAGGTCGTGACGTTTGGAACGACAAACTTATCAAAGCTCGTGATAAGTTTGAAAAGCGAACCCCAATAGGTGCACGCTATAAGCTGCATCGTCTGTCAAGGGAGAAGGGATTACCCTGCCTCTCATGGGGAGACTCATTCCCATGTTGTGTGAACAACTCTGCACGAGCACCTAAGGAGGCTTACCTCCTTACCAGCCCGTGGTGGCGCGTACGTATCTCTATTGAGATGTACGAAGGGATTGACAACCTGAAATCCCTTTACGACCGTGCCGGGAAGACTTTCTCCGGCGGTCCTTCTGCGGCTCAGGATGTGCCGCGTCGTACTGCTCAACCAGACCCAGTACGTCGATCATCAGTTGGGAGCGGGGCTCCCAAGAATCCCAGGACGGGGGATAGCCGCGCCACCGGACGAGATAACTCGTCCAACGTCCGTTCACGTCGCGGTGGTTCAACAGCTGCTCAACTAGATAGCGCTGGCCACCACGAGAGTCCTCTAATGGAGGTGGAGGAGAAGGAAAGACGCTCTCCACACGATCATGTGGATCGGTGTGTTCCTGAGAGCTTCTTTGATCGCGTAACGCATGGGTTACGCGACGATCTCGAACATGAGCGGAATAGGCGTCTCCAAATGGCGGACACTGCCTCGAAGCATCGAGCTGAGTTTGCCTTTGCTCAGCTCGAGAACGAGAGATCTCTGACATCTCTTCGTGACGAGCTAAGGGTAGCTCGTGGGATTGTTGATCGGTCTCGGGCTGAGATAACTGCTCTTCAGACCCTTGTTGATGCCCACCATCGGGAGCACAAGGCTCTCTGCGAGATGCTTGAGCGCAAGGGCGTTCTTCATCGGAAGAAGCAGCGTACTGATGGTACGGCTTGAGCCGACCAACGTAAAACGTGGGATGCGTTCGCATCTTACGTGGTAACTCGATCGTGTATGCATTGTCTAGGCGGTGCAATACACGAAATGGGCCGATGTACTTGGGTAGTAGTTTACTGCTACCCAAGTTAGTCACTACATGCTTTGGTAGATTAACCGTAGACAGTAGGACTAAGTCACCTTGATTAAATAAAAGAGTGTTTGCTCTTCCATTCTTGTCAGCGTTTTGCTTTTGCTTATCCACCGCTTCGGCGACGGAGTCTTGCACAAAACGGACTACCGTTTCACGAGCCAGTATGAACTCATCTGATGACTCGTTAGCTTCAGTGCGCTGTGAGCGCACTGCAGCAACATCAACCTTTTCTTCAGTGAGGGCTTTTGCACTCTCACTGGCATCATCTTCTTCGATATCGATGTTATCGATATCGGCATCAAACGCAATGACCTCTTCGTCAGAGCGTGATGAGCGTCAACCAAATCGGTTTTTGCTCGCGCGAGTCCCCCCCCCTTAAACCAGAGTTACACTCTAGTAAGGTGGGTACACGTGGATGGCGCAAGCCATTCACGTAAAACGGTGTATGTGTCGTGGACGCATGCACCGAGTTGTCAATGGCAAACTCTACCATTGGCAAAAACTCACTCCAACTCTTAAAGGAGTGTACGTATCCTCGAAGTATCTCTTCAAGGACACGATTGGCACGTTCCGTCTGACCATCTGACTCTGGATGATCAGATGTTGACATCTTCAAGCGCGTTCCGAGTGATTTGAACACGGAACGCCAGAAATCAGCAGTGAATCGTGGATCTCTGTCTGATACGAGTTCACGGGGCAACCCATGAAGTCGGAAGATGGTGTCAATAAATACACAAGCACAGCCACTTGCCGTGATTGTCTCTGGTACAGCCACAAGGTGTACCATTTTGCTGAATCTGTCAACAAATACGAGAATACCCGTATTCCCGCGTGCGTCTTTGGGTAACCCGAAGACGAAATCCATTGAGATGGATTCCCAGCACTCAGCCGGAACCGGTAGAGGCTGTAAAGGTGCACGCAGTGAAGGACTTGACTTCACTCGTTGACAGACTTCGCATGCGCGAACATACTTTCGCACAAACTGATACTGGCGGGGCCAGTAAAAGTCTCGACTCACCGTGAGATATGTTTTCTCTCGGCCACGATGTCCTCCTATAGGAGCATCGTGATACTCGAACATGATCCGCAAACGCAGATCAGTATCATCTGGAATGACAACACGTGGTGTGTCACCAGAAACGGCTGTATAATACAGTAAACCGTTACGAGTAGTGTATCGATCTGATGCAGATCGATACGCAGGCGACTATCGTTTCAACGATTCTAGGGATGGTTGGGAGAGATGTGTCAACAACTTCACAATCTCACCATCTTGGGCGTATGCCCGCCTCACATCATCATGCAACGTTGAAGATGGTACTGAGGACGTCATAACCGCAACAGTGACTGTCTCACTGTTGGGTTTCACGACTAATTCAAAGTCGGGACGACGTGAGAGTGCATCAGCGACGACATTAAGTCTTCCTGGTTTGTACTCGACCGTAAAGTTGTATTCCGCAAAGAATGACAACCACCGCGCCATTCGTTGTGAAAGGTGCGGGCTGTTCACTGCCGTGCGTAATGACGCATGGTCAGTGTAAACAATGAGGGGTCTATCTCCTTATAGATAGACTCTGAACTTCGCGAGTGCATACTTCATGGCAAGGAGTTCCTTGTCATGCACTGGATAGTTCCGCTCAGCTGGTTGCAGCTGACGCGACTGATAGCAGACGACGCGTTCAACGCCTTCTAGGTCGTACTGCATTAATGCACAGCCGATTGCGAAATCGCTGGCATGACAGACCACATGAAATGGCCTGTCCTGATCGGCAATTGCTAGGAATGGGGATTGTATCAAGCTCTGCTTAATACCCTCAAAGGAGCGCTGACATTCAGCATTCCATAACCACCTCTCGTTCTTTTTCAACAAACGAGAGAGGTTTACAGTCATCTCGGCGTAATTGCGTGAATACTTATGCTAATACGCCGCTAGCCCAAGGAATTTTCGAAGACCTTTGACATCAACCGGCACAGGCCAGTCGGTGATCGCCTTGATCTTTTAGGGATCAGGACGTACACCGTTCTTACCAACGATGCACCCAAGAAGTGGTATTTCGCTTGCTGCAAATATACACCTCTTGAGGTTAGCATACAATTGATGCTTTCGCATGATTGTAAGAACCTGTCGGACGTGGTACCTGTGAACCTCAACGTCCGACTTTCCATCCATAGCTCGACTATGGATGAATACGTCATCGAAATAACTCGGCGCGAATTCTCGTACTGGTCTCAACAGATGTGATACACATCTGTTGAACGTGGCAGGGGCATTACTAAGCCCTTGTGGCATTACTAGCCATTCCCAGAGCATGCCGCTAGGCGTGCTAACTGCGGTAGAGGGTATATCCCGTTCTCGCATAAGGATTTGATAGAAGCCATCCATCAAATCCATGGACGAAAAGATGGTACTCTTTGACATACCATCAATGATTACGTCCTTCCTCGGAATCGGCGTCTGAGCCGGTACCGTTGCAGCGTTCAATTTGTTGAACGCGTGCACTATCCGCCACCCTTCTGTTGCTTTTCGCACACAGAAGGTCGGAGAGCTATGTGGGGAAGTCGATTCCCTCACATGGCCCGCAGCTAAACGATCGGCAAAGAACTTGCCGATCGCAAGTACTTGCTCACGAGGCAGTGGCCACTGCTTCATGACACAGTACTTCGAGCCTGGTTTAAGCTCGACCTCGTGTCGAATACCTTTATCCTTCGATAATTCGCACGGAACAGTTTCAGGGAATACATCCTTGAATTCAACCAAATCATCATAGAGAGGATTTGTCTTGAGCGATTCCCACGATTGGGAGTCATATCGCTCAATTCGTGTCTTTTCATCGAGGACACTCTCGTCCATAGATGAACTACTAAGAACTCTCTCGTTCTCACTAAATACTGTTGCTGACCTTATGTCGGTTACACACTCGTCGTCAGCGACGAGTATGCAGATCTTCTTGACTTTGCCACTACGCAGATCACGCAAGAACCTTTTATGTTCGAGCGTTGGCAACTGAATGATCTCCGAAGTCAACTTCGGAGGCGCAATCAGATCAAGTGTATAAGCGCCTACACTTGATCCGTTATTGACTATGACATTCAATGTCTCTGTCATTTCCTGGGGACTTATTCCCTCAGGCTTCGAAGGACTTACTCCTTCGGCTTCCCGGGGACTTATTCCCGCGGGTTTCGGGGAACTTACTTCCGCCGTATTTGTAATCTTGGGACTTATTCCCTTTACTTCCTCTAGCTGGGGTTGCGCAACCACAGCGAGATCCTCTACGAAAGACTCTCCAGTCGATCTAGGATTATTGTTTCGCTTAACCTGAGCGATCGATTGTTTCTCTTCTAGATGTTCCCCGCTAGGGATACATCTTTGTCCCAGTCCACCCGACTTATTCGAGTGGTGGACCTTCGGCGCAGCCTGTGTTTCCTCACAGCCGCCGGAACTTTGCTCCGAAGTGTAACCGTTTGGTACACTAAGGTTTTGTGCAGTCGTACTAACGACCGTACCACAAGTGAGGCCATCGCACTCACTCGTAGTACATCCACACGCTTGTGGACGCTCCAAAACGTTCATCAGATGGCCATCTGATGAACAAGTGGCAGGCATCGTTACTGTTCGATGTTGCCAGTTTACCCGTGGTTCGTACCTTCTGAGCCACGGTATTCCAAGGATGACATCAAATTTGTCATCCAAATCCAATACGATAAAGTCATCGTCATATTGGGTATCTTCTAGCGTATAGTGGATCTTCACTATACGCTTCATGACGGTTACGGATGCGCCTGTCGCAAGACGTACCGTCATCCTCGTAGGAGGTGTGTCACATTCACTGAATTTAAAGTGACTATCTTCTAGCGATTGGCGTTGCACAATTTTGTTGGACGCCCCACAATCGACTAGAGCTCGAAGGGACAACTCATTTGTCACTTCGAGTTTCAAGGTAATGAGTGATACCTCATTACCTAGAGCAGCAACGCACAACGTTTGTGTGTTGGGAGCAACCTTCATCAAGAGGCCTACAAATTCTCTTGACGTTGCTGGATCAGTAGGGTGCTTCGCACCTACTGATCCTGTCCGTTTTTTTGACGTTCCATCCCGTTGTTGCGTCTTTGCACCAACTGCGGACCCTCGTCCCTGCCCCTTTCTCATGGGTGGACGGTCACTACGCCCAGTGTCGCGAGACACTGGACGAGGGGCACTACACTCGTAAGCGTAGTGTCCTGTCTTTTGACATCTGTTGCATCTCTGCAACTTCTCGTAGTCTGTAGAGCGAGCCTTCTCGCTCTCTACATAACAGAGTTCCATCGGCTCTGGACCTCCGTTGTCATATCGTCTCGGTTGACGATATGATGTCGAGCTGGCGCGAGCCTGTCTCAGACTGAAGTCTTCCTGCTCCGCAATGGAAATGGCTTGTTCTAGTGAATCTAGTTCAAGCCGGAACAGGTGAGTCTTGACGGGACCATCCGCAAGACCCTGCATGAACACCGAAACCAACGTGTGTTCATCCACCGGATTGGAACTTATACAACTCGTAAGATGTCGTATATGTTGAGCGTAAGCGTGCACATCACGCTTACCCTGCTTGAGCTTCAAGAGTTCGGTTCGAGCTCTGAACTCAGCTCTAGGCGGTTCAAACGTTTGTCTGAGCCGCGACTTGAAGACTTCCAACGACCCAAACGCATATGGGTCGTGCAACTTGAGCCCCAGTGCCCAAGTCTTGGCACGTCCTGCCAGATTTGACTGGGCAAATGCAACTTGCATATCCCCGTCGTCGATGCGACGCGCCCTTATGGCGTCATCCAATTCGACGAACCATCTCAAGAGGGAGTCTTCTTCGACCGCCCTATACTTTGAGATGTCAATCTTCAAAGTCTCGGGTCGACGCGAGTGCATCGACCCGCCAGCAGCAGCCTGCTGCTGTCTCAACAGTTCAAACTGTTGAGCACCCTGTTCTCTCAACAACTCTGCTTGTTGAGAACCTTGTTGGTGAAGCAAGGCTACTTTCTCGCAGTTCAGCGTCAAGTTCATTTTGAATGAACTTGGCGATAGTAGCATGTTGGGCATCTCTATTGAGAGCCTCTAGCATGACGCTAACAGCATGGATGCCCATAATTGAACCCATTCGTTCAACCGCATCCCATTCGACATCGCTCAAATGGGAGTAGCCGTCACGCGTAGCATAAAAGCTTTGGTCATCTTCATCATCCAACATATTCATGTTGGATGTGAACGCGGTCCCTGGACGGACTACGAAGTGCTACCAGGTGTAACGGGGCACCCTGAAGCTTGTACTGGTGACAGTACAAGCTACTTATTCTGATGACAGAATAAGGCGGTGCCTCGTAACTTCACGTACACTCGTACGTGCAGAGGAAGACGGTAAGAAGAAGCGAGTACTTGGTTAAAGTAAAAAGTAGAACTGTATTCAGTATAGTTAATGTCTGCAATAAATCACTATTTATCTTCATCTAACTATGTCTAAATACAAATGTGTAAATCAACTATCTGCTCACCACTCATTGCGTGCGTCTGTCGTGGCGCGTCTTCGTTGGTTAATATAATGGCCTATATCAACCAATTAGGAACTACTCGTAAGTGCTACAGAATATTTGTCCTTATGACAATATTCTGAGAATATAACTCTTGTAGTTATATTCTATTAACAATTTCTTATAAATTGTTATGTAACGATTCACCCCGTTACACTTGGGCAACACGATCAGAAAATGCTTGTAAGCGTCCAGCATTTACTTATGTGATCAAATTCACCTTTGATCGATTTGAAGCCAATCATGTGCGTGCTCCTGATAGTGACCTAGCCGAAGAGCGACTTACACATACCGATATACATATGACTAGAATACAGGCTTGATTGCGCTTAGTACGTGTAAGATACACCTTATTGTATTTTTAACAGACAAACACACACAAAAAAAGTAAGATTTACGAGCTCGGCATTCAAGCTTGCGCTCAGTCACTTACAGCTTCACCCTTCGGGATGGCAGTTGGTATATGACGGTCATTCTTATACAGGGTATGATAAAAACATGAACTCGCAGAGGAACGTAGTCAACACTTCTGCTCTTTAATGGTATGCGGTGCCTGTCGCACGTCATCTTGTGTCCGGATCCTTCCATCAGCGTCAACAGTCGTTTTTCGTCATTCTTGCCTTGTCTTTTCCTTTACTGAAGTGTAAGCACCTTTGATACGACTGTTGGACCAAAAATGAGGCAGAGGTGCCTCTGACTCCTTATTCGGAGGGACACTGATAGACTCGTAGAGTCTCTTGGCCTTACTGGAATAAATAGGTAATAACTAACTTGGGTATTCAATCTTTACTAACGTAGTGAGACTTGACTCTAAATATGAAAGAAAGCTCGCAAGCTTCTGGTCACGTTTCAGGGGACTACGACTCCGAGGAATCACGCGGTACTAATTCACAAGAGTACTTGCCCTTACATCATACTCTTAACTCTTACGATCAAAGGCTTCTTCGAAAGACAAATGACTGAAATTGATCAAAGAAGAACTAAATGCATTCACTTTTTTTCAGCGATAATAAACCTCGCTTGTGTATTAACCTTGAAACTATGCTACATAATCGACTATGGATGTTCTTCTTGTGTTGCCACACCAAAACTGCGACGTAATGTGAAGGCCCTATTACGATCGATGCCATCTGTCCGTGATAGATAATGTACGGTATTACCGCTTAGCGTATACGATACTACGCCGAAAAAGTTTCAATGACCCTTTTTATGTGTGTATCACACCAGCGTACCTGGTTTTCACAACCATTTGTGTAACCCCGTAACACCCTTCCCCCACCCGTCAATAATCTGAATCGACATTCTTCACCTTGCTCATTGGGATAGCTCGAATAGATTAGATAACTTCAATGTTGTGCTCGCGATACTTTGCGCATCAATGGCGAAGTGTTCGCATTACTTCGAGTAATTAGACGATATCTTGCGAAAAGAGAACATCGTCGATAATGACAGCTACACTGTCGCATCAGGGGGTATGGACTTCGAATCTGACACGTTAGTTTCGCGCGAGCCTTCGCATATTGCGTCAAACATATTTCCAGAACGAAGCACGGCTAAAGCGCTTACAGCGCTGCGTGCCTTAACCATTCTTAATGAGCCCCTCATCGTCAAGAGACGCGATGAGCAACAACAGCGCTATATCAAGGATAATGAGAGGGCTAGACGTCTATATCAGACACTAGCTATCGCAGAGGCGCATTCGGACTATCGCTTCAAGCTTTTGAGCTTTGGTGAGTTGTTGCAAATTTCACAGGGCAGCCCTTGACTACTTGGACCACGGGCTGCGAGGGTACGAGCCCGATAACCAAACGAAAAGCTCTTATAGTAAGATACCTGACACCTGAAGCGACGAGATCGCTAAGTTTTAACTCGAAGTAACGGAACAAGCACGCGGCGCCTCTTTACCAACACAGCGAACGATGTCGGTCGGTATGTACACCGACGAGAGTGAGGACGGAAATGATAATACGTTTAATCTCTAGTATCATAGAGCACGACACATGCCCATCATGAATGCCCTTAGAGCTAGTGCTTACAATGCCGACATTAGAATAAAGCGCAAACTGCGCTATGGTATTGCTGGCTGAAAGCCAAAGACTAGCTACGTTCTTTTTTTGCACTCAGTACGCCAAATCAGTTGAGGTCGAGCCTCCACTGTTTCGACAGTGCAGACAGTTGCGGGTCACTCAATATTGGTGAGCGAGACGCACACCCCCACACCTACTATTGAGAAGCGCGTTAGGATGCAAGTTGACCCTCATCTCGAAGCTTATTACCTTCAACGGCGTACGCGCAATCTTGTCTAAGGGGCACCTTAAACTCTCATGAACTCTCAGACTCAGGTTCTCATCGAGCAACTCAGAAGGGGGTCGGTGCGTCGGTACAGACTCATCAAGACTTTTTGTCAGAGGTGACGCATCGCCGCAAGTCATTCACCCACCTGCAGAATGCACTGGATGAATCTATCTCGGAGATAAAATAACTTCTAGAGATCCTCGACCAAGGGCAGCGCGCTCATTCTACCGTCATCGACAAAGTTAAATCAGATGCGTGAGAAGATAAACCGTTTCGGCTAGACCGACTCAGTCGACAATAGACTGCGGAAGGTGGAGTACAACCTGCCTCGTCTAGGTGTCCTCGTGGAGCCTTTAACGTCGATGCAAGTATCTAAACAAGTTCCTTCCTCCAGGTGCAAGCGCCTTCCGTTCGAAGAAGTTACAAGTATACCGGGACAATCAATCGAGTCGAACTGACACAAGTCGCGAAATCTGAGGTGGTGGTCGTCCTCGTGTTCTAACCGGCTACGGTTTTAGCATAATCGTCGGAGTCTGCTGGGATAAAATTTCCAAATTTTACAATATTGTCTGCTTCTGCCGGTAACGGAGGAAAGTATATGCCGTCGCAACAATTTTTTTCACATTCTCTACCACTTGTTTAGCAATCTCGTTTGCAAAAGAACGAGGTGTTTGTAGAATTAAGAGTTGTCATTTCTATGCAAAGTCCGAAATTTGTAGCTATGGGTCATTTAAAAGTAAATACTGCAGTTGAATACACAAAGAGACCCCGATCTATCCTGACTGCTTTGCTGCGCACAACTGGCAACTTGGTAAGATCGTAAGTCGCTGCACAATTTTAAGCTACCTAAATGTCAAGCATTCACTAGTAAAAGAGCAAACTCAGAACTTCGTATCCAACAATTAAACACACCTTACTGTATTCCTAGGTCATCAGTGATGCGACAGTAATCGATGTACATGTTAAAAAAATTATACCTGCACTGAATACGGCGCGGCACTTCGTTCTTGCTTTGCCAAATATAGTGGTATTCGATCATTTGACTGTCCATGGATTGCTTGATCTTGGCAAAACATCCGAATAAGTCTTCCCTACTAGTTGGATGAACGTGCTCCAAACGACTGTGTACACCCTCTCCACAGGAAGTGTAGAATGTCCAAAATGGCGAATCTTGTTCGCCCATACCGCATTGCTTTATCAATCTATGGCCTTTTGCTCAAGAAGATGACAAAAACTAATCCATGATTTTTTGTGAGGAACCACCAACACGCTCCTTGATGCTGAAGTGACTTCCATTTATTCTTTAGTAAACGCTCTGAAAATACTCCATCTGATATCGAAGTCGGTTCTAGTCTCAGCGTATCGTATCCTAAATTGTTGCATGCATTACGAAATCATATACAAGTCTTGTACATTCGAGGAAATACGCCAAAAACCATCTAAAAATTATTCCATTCCTATTTCGACACTTGCATTTTTTAATTTTTTCATGCCTTTTTTATAATTCAAGCACAAAGAAGTGTTTCGGTACTAAAGAGTTTGGCTTGTTTTGTATTGATAAGAGCAATTTTTCTGTCAAAACCGAAAACAACTGATTTGCCATGCAAAATACCCTAGAAAAAGTTGATAGCGGTGTCTTTCTCCGCAGGCTTTCTTATTCCTATTAATTGGGGCTAACCCCAATTAATAGGAATAAGAAGCCTGCGGAGAAAGCTACATGCGTATTTTTTTTTTATTATAACTGAACGAAGCAGAGTTAATACCCTATTTTTGTCTTGTAGGTCGCGTCCGAAATTAAAATATCTCATAATTGCGCAAAATCTTGATAGAATTTTGCTGAGCTGAATTAAACGAGAGATGCGAATGGAATCATGCAGGTAGGTGCATCTGATGTTGAATGCATTCTAGAGCTGTAACTTGACCTTGATACTTTAAGTGGTTGGCCTTTGTTAAGAACAACGACAAGTTCGACATGCACTGTAATCACCTAGTGGTGTGACCACTTCGGCATAACGTAGATATTGTTGCAGTAAACTGCGCCAAAAATGAGCGCGGTGAAAAGAACAAACCAACGTGAGCAAGTATCTTGATTGGCCAGCGTGCACACATGGCATCGATGTTGTTACAGAGAAGCTCTTATCAGTTTGTCTCGCATATTTGCTGCACACGGTTATCCCGACATGG